ATTGCATGCGAAGTTAATGAGGGGCGTAGCACACGAGAGGGTCATAGGAGCAGGTCATGATGGTTATGGACATACTTTTATACTTTTTGTTACACTTTTGTATTTATCTGAAGAAGACTTGATTCAAAATAAAAATTAGTCACCATGTTAATCTATATCCATCCAAAGTTTTTACTTTTACCTTATTGCACTTTATTTTGCTTGATTTAAGGGACATACTTGACTACACTAGATTTTGTTTACAGTTCCTAATAAAATATGGTAAAATGCTAATTATATTTGCCTTTTTTAATCCATTGAAATGTAAAGGATTGTGTGAAATTTCATCATTTTGACTACTATCCCCAGTATCGAACTGAATCGAATCGTATTGTATCGTATCGTGGGAATTTCTGAGGAATCAAAAAAAAAAAACGAACCATTGGCTTAAGGAATCGATATTATATCGTATTGCGAGGAAAGCTGTGATTTACACCCTAGTAGTCACCAACTACTTTCCTCTTCTGCCCTAATATAGTTACAAGGAAAAACAACAAAATAGAACAAAAAACACAAAATACACAACAATGCCTATGAAATGAAGACACTTCTTGTTTATTGGTTTTCAACTGGGATTTGTAATTTAATTATGGCAAAAAGAATGATAAATTGTAAATGTATTTTAGAATAACCTGGGCGAACAAACCACTGAAACATATGTAACCTATTACAAATGGAAGAATGTGCAAAAAAAAAAATCACAATATGTACTATATAAAATCACTCTGCTGCACAAGGTTTTTTGTGCTTTTGTCCAAAATCGCAACCATCCATTAACTGTGTGTAATTGTACCGTGTACAAAAGAAGCAGGAACTGAAGAGAAGTCATAGAGCTTGTCATAGCGAATGCACTCCATACAGCTACTAATAACCTCCTACTAGTAACCTCCTCCTGCTACTAATTAAATCTGTCCATCAAAGGCCCCCTATATTTACTTCCTTTAAAGACTCTCCTTAGCCTCAGGTTTAAATGCAGAAGAATGAATATCACGCACATGCTGCTAATTTCCTACAACAGCTTCAAATCCAGTTTCAAAAGTGCTACACCAAAATGAGGACATTCTGCAAAAACTGAAAAGCCATGTATGACTATGGGGGATGGGAGGAGATTTACTCATTACTAAATAGGTTACTCATTTAAGGAGGGGTCACAGGGTCAATAAGTAAGTACTAATACTTATTAATTATTATATGTTCCCATACCAAACACTAGATACTGGTCGACATGATTAATAAAGTCTGTCAAAGTGAGAAAGCCCATGCATGTGTATGCAAGGGTTGGCATCTGAAAGAAGGTATTGCTGACTTTCTAGCATGTTCTTAGAAGGGATGGTGGCCTTGGGCCCACCAACTGAAGACCAATCATTCTTTATCATGCCAAATCAATCCTTGTGGGAGCTCATCTCATGCTTTTACAGTGCATTGCCAGAATAACAAGTGTCTGTTTTCACAAAATACAGCTCAAAAATCGGAAGAGCCATACTGCTTACAAAGTGCAGTTTCATGTTCTGCCCCCCGCCAGGCTTGTTGCTGTGCTGTTGCGAAGGCAGCCATGTGTGTTACATGTCAAGTGAGCATCTGGAATGATGGCCGAGGCTTTTGGATGGCAGCTTCTGTTGAGATGAAGCCCTTTGGATCACAGGATTCCCAAATGGGACATGAAGGCCCGCAGTGCCAAGCTGCAGAGGATGATGGGAAATGCCAGGGCAGTAAGAATGTGGTCTAGCTGAGTAACATGACACCACAGGAGAGTCACAGCTCCTCAGAACTCCTTATCCCAGCCCGACAACTCCTCAGCCGGCTCCTCCAGGTCTGGGGGGAAGATGTCGAAGCGGCTGTGGTCCAGAGGCCCACTCAGCTGCAGTGGGATGAACAGAAAGCAGATGTGACAACCAAATGCTCCCTCAGTCACACATTCTACACACACATATTTACAGAAGATGCCATCAAGCGTTACATCTGGGTAGCTGTGAAGCACCCGACTGACAGATTTAATGGCATGTGTTTCTCCTGTTTGTCTGTGCCCCCCCCCCCCCCCCACCTCTCTCTCCAGTGGTGATGGCAGTCTGTGTGTCCTCAGCCCCTCCCAGTTAAAACCTTGGAACCACCTGTAGGAAGGCACATATTTGAAGCTCCTGGGCTCCTTCAGACAGCCCATGCCAGCAAGATCAACAAGACAATCACCATAAGAAACAATGAAGGCAGACATAGAGGAGCAAAGTAAGGACTGCTAAAGCACATCAAGATGTCTATTAGAAGAGGAGTGACAATGAGCACTAGCAGATAACATCACTGAAGTGGCTTTGTGGATATTGCCATGTGACATCACTGAGGAGAACCTCAACACCTGATCATTAACAAGGCTGCTCATTTGAAAGTTTATCTAAAAACTGTCCCCTCAAAAAATCACAAAGACTACAGCTAAAAAACATTTTATAATGTGAGTGATAGGGAACTCCTATTGAATCCTGATATTTAGTAAAGTACAAACAGTACTGAGTAAGCTGAGACTGGACACCAACTTCTGCTTTTTGATGTCCAGGATGCCGTTCTTCTTGTTGCCCAGGCGCTCTGCAGGGTGCAGCCTGAGAGTGTGAGACAGACAAAAAGGCAGGCATTTATGGTTATTCGGTCTCCTGTTTTCCAAATGAAGCCTAGCCGATTGAATTCACACTAGGGGGTGACATGGTACGCAGCTCAGATTCAGGATGAAGGAGAATGGTGATACGAGGATGATGATGCAGCAGGTGTGACGAAGAGCCCATATTACAAAAACAAATCTCTTTTAACTAATAGTAGGCCTTATTTGCAAAAAGAGACATACTGTTGATGTTTTCATATTTTAATAATGCAGATCTGGGACATTTATGGAAACAAATTTCATTTGGTGTAGTTAAGTGATACGAGGGTGGGATTGGTGCAACAAGGGAAGAAGCAAACAGGGCCACACACCTGCAGAGGCTCCGAATGAGGTCACTGGGTCGCTTGCTGATCCGTTTGGGAAAGTCCACTTTCTCGATGCCATGGAGCACCATGGTATAGATCTTAATGGGGTCAGAGCCTGTGAATGGAGGACTAAGAGGGTGTTAGTGTGTCTGATGGTTTATACTCCAGTGACATTTGATCCACAACATAAGCAAGAAAAATATATTACACAGCAGCACGCAGAAAACCCAGGAAACATGAAACCGGATACACTACCGGGATTTGACCTCATTGGCAGGGGGCCGCAATACACAGCAGATTTATCACGGACAGAAAGCAGTGAAATCCTCCCTTGACACGCAGTGTGGTTAAGCCCTGTGGTGCTGCCTGATATTTGACCTAGAAGGGCATATGGTCCACCAGGCCTAGGTAAATATCTGCCCCATCACTGTGACTTCCTCTCTTGAAGGAGGCAATATTTCAAACATAGCATGGGGGTGCGATGCTGGGGCAGACCAGATCAGTGGTCAGGCACCTGGTCTTGCATGGGCAGCACTGCAGTATAACTGGGGTGATAGGGTCCAGGGGTAGTTACGGTAACCTTGCATCATAATCTCCCAGCATGCAATGCAGAGGATGCTCAGCTCAGAGCAGAAGCACACATGCGGGATGACAGCGCTGTCCTCGGATAAAAACAGAAGACCTGAAAAGGAAGCTACCAGCTGAGCAGGACTCCCTCCTCACACACACCTAAGATGCAGGGAAGCTATAGGTGGGAAACTCTCATCATGCATTTACCTTAACACACCAAGTTGGCTTGAGTCATATTTACCTACTGAACCATAACGTCCCCGGTAAATATATCCTGTTAAAAACAACTGCCCTATACAGCAGGTAGCTGCCAGTGTACCTCACTGTAAAAAACCCTCAAACAATAAAGGCATGTTCATCAGGCTCATTATCAATGGGAAAAACACATTTTAGGAAATTTAAAACACTACTGCAGAAAATGCTAAATAACCTGATATCAGCTTCACTAAATATAATAAATTTGCAGAACTCCTGAAAAACGGTATCAAAGAAAAATGGCATATTTTTCACAGTGATTTATTGATAACACTGAGCTTTTTAAAATGTGGCCGCAAGTGTCTGACAGTGTCCTACACTTAGTGTTGTAGTCAAGACTGCCTAAACCGAGACCAAGACATTGCTGAGACCGGAGGGTATCAAGATCAAGACACTGCCGAGACTTGAGGGTACCAAGACCAAGACACACTAAGGCGAGAACAAGACCAAGGCTGGTCGATACAAAGACCAAGACCGAAAACAGACTAGGGCTAGAATCAACATCACATTGCTCTAATCAACTGTAAAGAAAAAAGGCATTGCTGTAAAGTGTCATTATTTGTTAAATCAAATTCATGTTATCTTTTCAATTATATTGTCCATATGTCTCTCATTTAAAATCTCCCAGATGTCATAGTTACGAGGCCTGATGGAAAATAATATTCTCAGCAATCCTCTCCTATAACCATTTTATCAGACCTCGTCAAGGGAAAGAGATGGGATGTACCAGAAAGATGTTCATATTAAGTCTCTTATACCAGGGACAGAGGCCTCAGGTAAGCTATGAATACAGCTATGTAATGATCCTTTGCTTTGAATTGAAGAGAATGAGCCTCCAGATTGACTTGCACCTCCAAGACCTTGCTTTCTAATCAATGTAAAATACCTGTAAAAGTTAATTACTGCCGATTTCGTGGACATTTTTGGACATTCGGACTTCACTACGATGCGATGTGTATGATGTGTCTGGACTGTGAAGCGCTGGCAGTGTCCGTTGAGAAAATGTATACAATGTAACGTTTATAGATGTGTCTGACTGGTTGCATCTGAATTAAGGCGCGTAATAAATAATGATACTGTTCTGTGAAGATGCGATGTTTTCTCTTTTTTTCCTCATCCCATCGAGACCGCTATGTCCGAGACCAAGACAAGACCGAGACCACACAGAGTCGAGACCGAGACAAGACCGAGACCAAATAGATTCGGGACCAAGACTACAAAAAATTGGTTTCGAGACCAAGACCGGTCTCGAGAACTACAGCACTACCTACACTCTCCAACCTGTGCCCCTAGCAACCTTACCTCCAGCCTGCTGGGGCTGCAGCCACCTTCAGTGGCGATTTGATGATCCCGGTGCAGGAGTCATGCCAGCCCTTCTGCTCTGGTGAGCAGTGGAGATGAAGGATGATGTGGTACAGACAATAAGAGCAGTGGCACCCTTCAGCCTTATACTGAAAGGCACCATATAGTCATGGATGTAAATCACTGTTCAGGATAATTATACTCTGGATGGGTTCACCACAAGGTTACTTTACCAGAAGAGAATCCTAACATTCGGTTAACTGAAACAGCTTGGAGAGCATAGTAGATCAGTTGTTGAGATTGCTGCACTGTGAGGGAGTGGTTGTAGACGCTGTGTGCACTTGTGTTGTGTTGGGCGCCTGTTGAAGCGGTTGACTGGAATTATTTGGAAGTATATTTCAGTGTGTAAGTATGGTTGTGTGCTAGTACGGTTGCGTGGGTGGTTGTTGTTTCATTTTTTTTTTTTTTCCGGATGAGTGCTTTGTCTGTCCTTGTTAATAAATGGTCTTCACTTTGTTTTAGTTAAACGTGGTTCATCAGGAAGTTAGCCCAAGTTAGGTAATTGTTAATTTGGTTACTTTAAAAGTTTAATTTCAAAGGTTGTTATCTGTTACGCTGTCGGATAATTTTAAAAGTTCCATTTTAACGCAAGTGTTAATTTAGTGTTTTATTGTACTCGGCACTTTATTGTTTTAGCTATACGTTAATTAGATTAACGTATACGTTAATTGGGTGAACGTAGGTCTTAGACGTAGAAAAGGGCATACACAGTTTACAGAGGCGGTATCACCTGAAATGACGGTGTCTAACCGCTTTCAGGTGCTTCCAGCTTTAGACCCGGAAAAGACTGGGGAGGCAGGTGGGCCCTTGGGCACCAAGGAGCCGCCTACCCCCAGGAAGAGGGAGCTTGTGGTAGTAGGGGATTCAATTATTAGAGGTATAGATAGTTATGTGTGCACCCGTGATAGAGGGTCCCGTACGGTGTCTTGCCTGCCTGGTGCTCAGGTAGAGGACCTTCCGAATCGTGTGGACAGGCTTTTGGCCCCAGCTGGGGTGGATTCAGTGGTCATGGTGCATGTTGGCACCAACAACATAGGCAAGGGCAGGTGGGATGTTCTGTAGGATAAATTTATAGAAGTCGTGGAAAAGCTTAGAAGCAGAACATCCACGGTGGTATTCTCTGGAATACTTCCCGTGCCACGAACAAGCCAGGCTAAGTTAGCTGAGATAAGGAGATTAGACGCATGGCTAAAAGGGTGGTGTAGGAAAGAGGGGTTTATGGGGCACTGGAAGACCTTCTGGAACAGGTGGTACCCGTTCAAGCCAGATGGTTTGCATCTGAACCAGAGGGGAACCAGTGTATTGGGGAGGTGTATGTGTAAAGTAGTTGAGGATACTGCAGATAGTAGCAGATACTGATCTAGCAGCACAGAGGCTACAATGGGATCTGATTTAATTAGCGACTGGGCTGATTCCTGGCAGATGAAATTTAACATAGGTAAATGTAAGGTAATCCATACAGGAAGAAGAAATATAATGTACAGATATTTTATGAGTTCCACTGAAATAAAGGTAGCTGATCATGAGAAAGACCTTGGTGTGTATGTTGATGCTTCCATGTCCCACTCTCGCCAGTGTGGGGAAGCAATAAAAAAGGCCAATTGGATGTTGGGTTACATCTCTAGGTGTGTGGAGTTTAAGTCAAGGAAGGTGATGCTACGATCATACAATTCTTTGGTAAGACCCCACCTAGAATATTGTGTGCAGGTTTGGTCACCATACCTTAAGAAGGACATTGCTGCCTTAGAAAGGGTTCAACATAGGGCTACAAGAATGATTCCTAGTCTTAGAGGAAAGACTTATGAGGAGAGGTTAGCTGAGCTGAATCTGTTTAGCCTCGAGGAAAGGAGACTAATGGGGCACATGATCCAGGTATATAAGATTCTAACAGGTCTGGATGCTGTTCAGCCAAATGGCTACTTCACTATTAGTTTAAATACTAGAACTCGTGGCCATAAATGAAAATTAGTTGGGAGAACATTTTAAAATGAATTTGAGGAAGCACTTCTTTACACAGCGTGTAGTTAGAGTATGGAATAATCTTCCTGCTAGTGTAGCGCAAGCTAAAACCCTGGTTTCTTTTAAATCTGACATTTTAACAACTCTGAGTTATTAGTTAAGTTCTCCGCAAATGAGCTTGATGGGTCGAATTGCCTCTTCTTGCTAAATTTCTTATGATCTTAACACCACATGCACCAGTTTGATACCTCAGTGTCACCATCCTCAGCCCTCCTACACAGATCACTCTTACCTGCCGGTGAGCAGCTCAAAGATCAGGATGCCTAAGGACCAGCAGTCTGCCCCAAAGTCATGCCCCTTGTTCAGGATCACCTCTGGAGCTACATATTCTGGTGTTCCGCAAAAGGTCCAAGTTTTCTTGCCTGGTCCAATCTTCTTGGCAAAGCCAAAGTCAGTCTGGGAGTAAAACACACAGCGTCAGAAAGACCTCTCCACCTCCCTCCCCATCCCCCGGCATATTGCCTCTGGACCAGCAGTACCATTTTCACATAGCCCTCATGGTCCAACAGCAGGTTCTCCGGCTTAAGGTCCCGGTAGACAATCCCTTGTCCATGGAGGTAGTCAAATGCCTCCAGAACACAGCCAATGCAGAAGCGGGCTGTGGACTCCTCAAAGAAACCCCTTGAACATAGTTCAAGCACAACTTTGGTTTACTCACGTTACTGAGAATATAATTTCTGAAAATACAATATCAGTATCTGTGATTGGCCCATCTCTGCAGAGTTACTGGCCATCCTACAGTAAACCCCCCCCCCCCCCCCCCGCCCTCGGGAGAGCACATACTCACACGTCTCTTAAGATACTCCACAACTCCCCCCCAAGGCAGACCTCCAGCAACATGTACACATATTTGGTATCCCGAAATGTCCGAAACAGCCTGCAACAGAGACCGTCATTGTATGGGCTTCCCTGCCAAGCGTGCCACGGAAGACTGGGGGCATTACACATGACATTGAAAGGGTCCAAAAACATTGACTATGACCCATTTTAAAGCCATATGCATATGAGAAATCAGATCAAAGTGCCTTATGAATCTCAAATCCAGATCCCTGTCCACTGTGGGACGAGTTTCCTTCATGAAACTTCTTCATTGCAGATCAACCAGCTGCGAAGAGATCTCTGCCGGCTCTGATGCAGCAGGTATCTAGTGCAGCATTTGTTTGCTTTGGTCTGTCTGCTGCAGCTGCTGCACCCTGGGTAGGTCATGCTGATAAAAGGCTGGGGCATATTTGTGCAGAGCATCCCCAGGCTCCTCATTTGTGTCCGATCTGTATTCGCCTTGTGTACACAGCTCTTTGCCTTGGAAAGTCACAGAGCAGCCAAATCAACTTTGCAGATAAATAGAGGGACCTTAAAGGTCTTAATTGTTCCAGGGCTACCTTGCAATGTGAATGGTTACAGCAGACCTAGTGAGTAAGAGCAGCCACCTTGCAGTTAGAGTCCTTCCCCAAGCCCTCTTAGGGTATTTTTCCACTGCACCAGGTACTGTGCTTTTGGTACTTCAAGTACTTCGCTTTTCTTACTTTCAATTCTGTACCAGCATAATAGCACAGGGGGTTAAAGTTTCTCTGAAATATTTCACTCTGTTACTCTGTCATAGGAAAAGAAAAACTTAGCAAGCTTTGCCATTTTAATATTCCTTTTAAAGATTCTTATGTGTTTAAAAATGAGTTTAAAGGTTTACCTCTACTGCTTTTGCATGAGCACTGCAGGTGTTCTCTGAGACAATCATAGTGATTTCCATTCTTGCTGTTTAAATCACTCAAAGACGGGTTTGTGAGAAATTTATGAACTCCTTTTTTGTTTTTTAAATACCCCAATATTTATTGCAACAAAATCACATCACTATATTTATAACAAAATCACATCATTAGGACAGCGCACTATATGTGTGCTGAATTAATATATTCAACAAAATACTTTTAAATTTCTTGTCATGCCATCCGGATGTTATGAGCAAATCACATTTTTCACTTTGTTCATCATTATTTTCTGAGTTTGCAACTGTTTGTACTCGTTCAGAGGCAGGCTATTTTCTTAATCAATCAAGAAAGAAAGTGCCCTACCCCAAAGTATCAAAGAACCAGAGAAATACCCCAACTGGTTTCGCACTTTCAGTATTGGAACTTTTGGTACTGGTACTCAACCCGAAGTCAATGCAAAAGTGAAAGTACCAAGAGTTTCATATTGAAAGTACTTGGTGCGGTGATAAAGCGCCTTTAGTTTCTTTGATGGCTCTGAGAGCACTACAGTACAAACGGAAAAGAAATAAAAAAACAACAACACTCTACATCTCACTCAGCTCCAACTCATTTTCAAGGGGATGGTTAGTTGCAATATCCATGAAGATTATTGTCCACCTCAAGCATGACACGGCCCAGACAAGTTTGTAAATAATTTTTTAAAAAGCCGGGATATTTTTTTAAATCAGTAGTAATATGTCCATACCATGACTGTCCTCACTTTACGAATCCGGTAAATGAATGTAGTGCCTCATAACGAGCAGGGAAATGTGGCCGTCTGTAATCTTCCCATCCACGCTCCCATTGTGTGGCTCCGGGTAAATGAATGTAATATTCAGGCTGCTTGATAAGTATCAGTTTGCATTGCAAACACAGACAAGCACCTCAGACTGCAGACCAGACCTCAACTGAGCAGCTCTTCATTAAAAGGATAAATTTCATACATTTTAGTGGGTTTAGAGATCCTGCACAAGTTTTGTGCAGTTTTGTGATGCAGTTTTCCTTTTCCATTCTCTTTGTACCAGACTGATATGAGAAATGATATTATACAGAAATGATGTGTTGACACTGCAGTTTCACAATGCCTTCCTTGACTAGAATGGTGACATTAGCACTAACTATCACTAACAGAGCTGCACAAATCACTGTGGCTCTTGGCACCGGGCCTGACCTGACTATGAACGGCGAGTCCGCCTGCTGGAGAATACTCTTCTCTGAGTAGATGTGTTCCTGCTGCCTGGTGTCCACAATGTGCTTCTTCTTGATGCACTTCAAGGCAAATGTGGTGTCCTCCTCCTTCAGCTTCACCTGCAGACACAAGCGCAGCATGAAGCAGGCAGCCAGTGAGGGGAGGGGACATCTCAGTTAAGCAAGGGTATCACAGAAGAGCATTGAAATCACCAGCTCTACCCGTCCAAAGCCCCCCACGCCCAGGGTGGCCACCACCTCCAGGTGCTGGAATGGGTGGGTCGCAGACAGACAGGCCACCTTCTCTCTCAGCCTTTGCAGCTCCGTGTTCTCTGGGGTGTCTGCTGAAGGCAGCCCAGGACTTTAGGAGGGGGATAGAAAGCAAGCTTATTCACTGCTATCAGTATTCTGCATGGCTGCCTGTCTGTGACACGCATTTGTCATTTACTGACCAGACTAGTGCCATTTCAATGATATGGCTGCCAGTTTGTGCAGATGATTCAAAATATGTCTGATATTAAAGCAGCCAAAATGCTGTCATGTTAAACCCCTTTTCTCACTACATGTGCCCACAGTTCAAGTCCTTGATCAGATCTGTTAATAAAACAGCATCTACCTTCATAGAGTCACTCATCAAGACTTATCCTCCATCTTGCCCTCCTTGACCAGCAAGCCAACACCGCTGGGTTCCACCATGGAAGAGCACCTCCACTAACTCATCTGACCACTAACTTGCTCTGTCGTATTCAGCCATCCGTTGTTTATGGTCTCTTGGCTCATCTTTTAGGATCTCCCAATGTTTTCTATGCTTAGCTCTTTGTTCTAATGCTAACATGTTGCTGGTCACTCATTGAAAGCTCAATCTGGCAGCTCTTGTGATGTATTTGTATTTGTGTCACATCTGACAAAGGTCTCTAAATAAATGTAAAGGAATCATGTCAGCAGGCCTGAGATCGTCACTCACATGCTCCTCCTCTTCTTGTCACTGAGTGACAGCTCCTCCACGTATGCCTGCAGGGAGGCCTGGAGCTCCTCATAGGTCCCAACCACCTGGTTAAAGTTGCTATAAGAGAGTCACAGAGATGTAAGTTAGTCATCTTCCTCTTGTCTTTGGCGTTTGAAAGCCTCAGCAGGAGTGTTATATACACAGTCCACAACATTTCCCTGTCTTATTCTTTAGTGCCTACTCACTTATACTAGTGACTTATACTAGTGACTAATGCGACCAGATTTACCAATGCTGAATGTTACAAATGTAACTACAAACTATGAAATCGACTTTTGTAACAGTGTTCTGTTATGCTGCAGGACCTGTAGCATTTCTTGAAAATCTGAATGATGGTGTGGACTCACGCTCGGTCCACTACCAGGCATTGTGTGCCGTTCTCCTTGGAGATGATGTTGGCAGAGCGCACGTCCTCACTGGAACAACAGAGCAATGGTCAGCAGGGGCACTCAGAGTGGGAGGTGAGACAGAAACCAGGAGGTCCCCTACCTCACAAGAGCCTTCTCTCCAAAGTAGTCTCCCACACCCAGAGTCTTTATCTCCTGGGGTTCAAAACATCCCTCCACTGTCTGTGTCACTGACACCTGCCAGGAAATGGGAGCCAGGCATACAGCCATTATATGCATCCACTACGCTCTCTGCCGTAGTGCATACATTTCACTATGACTGCACAAGCATTTCACATTCTCACTGACCTCTCCTTTAGCTATGATGAAGAAGGTGTCACCCTCTTCTCCTTCGCGGATGATGTAATCTCCTTTATTGAAGTAGTCCTGTCAAGGACACAGCACTGTAGTCATTCCTTTCACCTTTGCAGGGGATTGAGTGTCACATTAACCCCCGGGGGTCTGAGGCCTCTTTTCCACTTTCGGGGTAGTCTGACATGCCTTGACATTTTAAATACATGCACAGGCGCACATGTGAGCACTGTGAAAAAATATATACTGGCAAAGGGATTCCGCATCAAAATGTGTAATATCTATGTACTGTATACACATACATTCAAAGGACAGGCATCAAACCTTGCTTTATACTCACATACTTACCACTTCAAAGCAGTCAACAATTTTAGCAAGCTTTTCCTCCGGCAGTTCCTTCAATAAAGACACACTGGAGGAAGGGAAGAGCGACAATATAGCACAAGTTAGATAAATTCATCTAACTTGCATTATCTTATTAAATCAGTGCTGCAAAAATAAGTTTTCTGATTAGAAACCACAGATCTGAAGAACCTAAGAATTCAGTTTTGCTATATATCTATAAATTCATGTTGAATTACGGCACACAATGCCAGTCTAAATATGGTCCTCTTCCTTAGGTGAAGTGGACTGCTGACCTGCGTAAGAAGCTGAAGTATTTTTCATTCCGGGCCTGGGTTGTTGCCATCATGATGTTCTGAAACATCTGTCGATCCAGAGCCCATATTCGGGCCTGAGAAACGGCTGTTTGAACAGAGGAGGTTATCTAGAGAAAGGCTGTTCTCTCAAAGGCTTATTTCACTCACACTGGTGAAACCTCAAGTCTCTGGTCTGGCAAAAATGTACAGGGGGAAAAAAAACCTTACATACATTCAGCCAAACCCTGACAAGAGAACTAAGCACCTTTGCGTAAAAATGATAATCTTATAAATTAATGCAGAATACTTTTCACACCTTTTCTTAGATTAAAAACAGTGGCAGGGTATTTCTCCATTGCTCTGTGAGTTGCACAGCCAACTCAGACTGGGTCACTAACTGAGTCACATAATGGGATAGTGCAGTGAGCTCTTAGTGCCCTACCAGGCATTAACATGGTCTCTTAGCTATTTGCTGGTTACATTCTAATCTTAAATGAAATGAGAGCACTAGGTGTGTTTACAGAATCTTATCAGTGCTGATGTTCCAGCAGTTGGGTTGCCCTGTCACTGTGCTTTGGATGAAAGCTGGTCAGTAGGGGAGACACTCTGGGTGCATCTACCCAGCTACCCATCTGATGCTGCAGGGACGCACCTCCTCACCTTTCACGGTGGCCGTCCTCTTGCAGTTGTACAGGATGGCCAGCTCCCCAAATGCTGTCCCAGGTCCCATCTGGCCCAGCAGCTTCTCATTCTGGTTCACCTCCAACAGTCCTTCTAAGGAAGGAATGATAAAGCTTTCAGCCCAAATCCGATGACCATGGATGCAGATATTGAGTATTCTGCAGGCATTGTCGCAACTATTGACCCAGTCCATGGTACCACAGAGCGCCAAATTTAAAGGTCTCCCTAATTAATGTGTAACAATGTTGAGAAATGAAAATCGTGACCATGTCAAAGTCACTCTGTGAAGCTGACCTGCCAGTACGTAGAGGTAGTTTCCAGGCTCGCCCTCCTTGATGACCAGCTGGCCCTGGGTGTAGGTTTGCTCATACATGCACTCCACCACCTCACGCATGTGTTGTGGCTCTAACCTCTTCAGGAAGTCATTGTTCATCAGGGCGCTGTTGATCAGCTTCTTGGTGCTGCGAGCAGGGGAAGGAGAGGGAAGACACAAATGAGCAAAGACATCCAGACTGCTGCCCCCAGTACAGAAACCCCCAGGAGCCATCACTGGGAAAGCACCAGTACTGGCCTGAAATACCATTCCCAACACTCAGTACGTGTACATGCACAGTTAAGTTGAGCTACGCTTATAGCTCGACTACGCCATTTAATCGAACTCCTGTCCTTGTCCTAGTATACATGCATGGGAGGGGAATCGATTTATTGACCAAAGTATGTCCGACTCAGCTACAGTAGGTGGCGATATGGCTTCTTCCAGCTTGTCAGTATTGGGCTTTTTCCAGTTGACCCATTATGTCACAGACGTAAAAAAATAATAATAATAAAATTAATAATAATGGGTGCACAGACAAATGAAGTTACACAAGCTTTAATTGTGATCTGGTCAGAAGAACATACAACAAGATCAGTATATCATTACAAAAAATGAAGTATTTTGTATAATTTACTATGACAGCACGGTATTGGAAGTTTTTCAGATAGTGCAATGTGATTATGTTGTAATAAATATTGGGGTATTTATGAAACAAAAAAAGGAGTTCAACATGAATTTCTCATGAACCTGTCTAGGAGGGATTTAAACAGCAAGAATGAAAATGATTGTGATTGTCTCAGAGACCGCTTGTAGAGCTCATGCAAAATCAGCTTCAAACTGTCTTGAAAATAAATCATCATTAAAATTGAAAAACTAGTGGAGCGGTGCATTGGACAGCTTTACGTTTACAGTGCTGTACATTTCGTACATGCTGTATGTTGTACTTTTTTTTTTTTCTTTCCACAAACGAGATGTACGCTGTTCCTTGTGGCCACGGTGTTATCCGAAGGCAGACGACACTGCCATATGCTGCTGGAGTGCGCCAACAATGCCACCTCTGCTACGCTTCAAGCTACTTATGTGTGCCGGTTTCTTCTGTTACTTCTGGGTCAAAACCCAGCTTGGGAACTGAGGAGCATGCGGTGTGAGTCCGATTGAACGTATATATGCAGGAGTAAATCGACTTCCCATCGCATTATCTGAGTGTTTTACGCCCTGTTCACACCCGGTATTAACATGCGTCCTGGTTGATCCCATCACAAGTGGACAGCACTAAATATACAGTAGGTGTGAACGCACCCAAAACACATCCAGATCAGATGGCTCAAACCACATTCGGAGGTGGTCTGGGGCGCATATGCCGACATTCGCAGTATGAACACATATGTGTCCTGGTCCCAGTGTTGCCAGGTCCAGCAAAAATCTGCAGCCCAAGGTCTGCTTAAAATCCACCCAACAGAAGCTGAAAACAAGCCCAATATTTGAAATCCCAGTATACTCTATCAAAGAAATAAACTGGTATTTTGTATGCTGATCACATTCAAATGAGCAACATTTAAAATCACAGTTAAAACACAAAGACGTCACAAAGATGGATGCACTCTCCTTTCCCAGGTTTGCCAACTTTGGTGACCTGGAGTGAGATTTTCAATTTGAGATACGTCTGCACACACATGCACACGCATTTACATGTATGTGACAGTTTTATTAACTTGTAAATAGTGTCTTGAGTTTGCAAACTACCCCAATGCTTCTGGTGTAGATAATTTTAGGTTTATAATGGAATATAGATTTGCTGTAAGATTGCTTGAATGAATGAGAGAATCTTGAAGTGCGAGTGTCACGCCAGATGCGTGAGAGTTGGCAACCCTGCTTTCCGTGTGCATGTCTCTGACTTTTGGTGTCTAGCGATTCAGTATTACTCAGGATTAAGAGCCACTTGCGTTCATAATAATTAATTTTTCTCCTTACAGTCTGCTGCCACGGAACATTATAAAAGCTGCCCCAAAACCCACAACCAGCGACCTCCTGATATTTACCTGCAACCGTATTTTCAAAACAGCCCATTTGGGTGGGAAAACCATGGACCTGGCAACTGTGCCTGGGCCACATTGAAGGACCGCCTACTCACCTGACGTCCTTGTGTGGGCAAGAACGTATGTACGTGTGAACGGTATGTGACATATGACTTATATCAGATCAGATTTCAGTGCGGATTGGGCCATTGTGTACTAAACTGCATTGTGAATATCAACTCAACTTTCTACCTACAACACCAAAAAAATTTGAATTAGTTTAATAACGGACTTTCACAACCGAAACTTTGTCATAGTCTGCATCATTAATGTTCTGCACAAATTCTGAAAAAAATTAATTGTGTAAGAAGTGACTTGTTAAAGATGTTTTGAAATTTGCACAGATTACTTTCAGAAATTCGATTTACAGTGGTATGATTTCAGTTGGACTAACATGTTTACATTTACTAAGTGGGTCTAGCACAATAATTTTTATTTTTATTTTCTTAGTGTGCATGTAAACGTACTGACTGACCAACCCACCCCCACAGTCTTTCACACTATAGCTGAGGTATCAAATAATCTATTATAATCAGGTTTATGTGTGTATTTACTTCCCAATCCCAGTCCATTCAGGCAGGGCAGCATCCTGAGAGAGGGTGATTATAACAATGCTGAAGACCAACCAAGCGATTTCAGAATTAGACAGACCCATCTCTGGTATGATATTTTACACTTATGGTATATTTATTTTACACTGTACTTCTTAAAATCTGCTCAGAAGTTATATTATGACTCAATACAATTTAATTTCCCAGATCGTGAAAATCTGAAAATGCCAAGTTCTCCCTAGTTGAAATAAACATCAACTAGCACAATACAGTAACATAAAAAAACACAATTTGCTGTCCCTGGAATGTCTGACATTACAGATTAGCAGCACAAAAAGAGGGCTTTCAGCAGCGTGACAGTGAAATGCCTGTGAGTCTGGCTGTGGGCGTGACCTTCACACAAAGAGGGGCAGGGCTGAATCAATGCACGCACATCATCAGAGACGCGCTAAGCAGCTGCCCCTGAGATGTCCTGGTATCCAGCTGGTAGTCACGGTGATGGGCTGCGTGAAAGAAGACTTTTGATCGGCTTCATGAAGACGATCCCGGGCAAATTTATGCCAGCATTTACGAGAATGTCCGTTCAACCTCACTCCTTGTTCTGCTCTTACAGAGGCCAATTTGGCCTAGTACCAGGATCCATCCCATTCACTCTCTGTGCGAATTCATATTTCCATACATTTGGTGTTATCTTTACCATATCTTGAGCAAACGTTATGTAATGTCTCACATATGTTAACAACAGAACAGTACAGTAAATGACAACAATTAATTGATGTATGGGAAAGATTATGCTATTGCAAATTATGTTTGCCATAGGTTAAAAGTGTACATAAAAGGTAAGCTAATTATACGAATCTGTATAAATGTAGAGAATTTAAACCCTGTCTACTTCATCTCCTTGGTGAAGTATAATGACAGGTATTTGGTGTATGTAAGGCAGCGTGTTTTTCATGCTCTTTTCCTGAAATGTAGCACTTCCTATTTGCACATCTAAAAGGAGGAGGGGCTATTTGTTGACCTGAAATGGAACTTATGAATGAATTAGCCAACCAGAGCCATACACAGGCAGTGAATACCTTGTTAATTAAAGCCGTAATTATCTTGCCCATCCATATAGATGGGATACCTTTTGTCTCGTTCTCGGTCTTTCCCTTTCTGTGGGTGTATTATGTTAATGTGAGCTTTCATACAGCATTTCTTGGCTGCTGGAGTCTCGACAAAGGCCTGTGTTCTCCTGGGACTGAAAGAGGTTGAGCAAAAAGCAAAAAGGCCACAGACAGCGCAGGGTTTCATGACTGAGGATGCTAAGGTGAATGAAAGGCAATAAAAGTGACACCTGAAATATGGACACCTGAAAGGTCCTGAACAATGGGAGAACCCTGGGAGTTAGGCTAGTTCCTCACCTGGAGTTCTTGCGGACCCTCTCCAGGGAGCAGGGCTGCCCCTGGGCCTCAGCGCAGTAGTGGCCCGATGTGGGCTCTGCTGACACGCCCTCCTTGGCCCGCAGGCGGCGGTGCACCTCCACAGCGACGTGGTGAAAGCGCGCAGGGCCCTGGTTGATGACGCTGAGCAAGCGGTGGCTGGAGTGGGGCTGTGTGGACGGCGAGCTGCCCAGTGCCTGATTGCCCAAAGCATCCTGCAGCTTGTGCACCTGGGCCAGCCGCGCCTCCAGCTCCGCCTGCAGAGCCCACAGCTGCTCGTCCCGTGCCCGCAGCTCCCGTTCCCGGTTGCTAAGTTCCTCCTCCAGATGGACAATACGGGCCCTCAGAGGCTCCACAGTCTCCCACAGGCGGGGGGCCTTCAGGCCTGAGGACAGGTAGCTCCCCTCTGGCCGTGGGGTTTTCATTGAACCATTGCCCATGACCTGTTGTTGGCTGACCACCATAGGAAGGTCCTTTTTCTCCCACTGGTTCCGGGAAAAACATGACACATCTTCCATATAATTCAATTAATTTCCACTGTTATATGCAGACATTAAATATAATCCTGATCCCAGACTTCTTGGTAACTAATTTGTCTTTTCAGATTTGGCAAGCAGACAGCCCAAACGCTGCTGCTCATGCAGCAGGCGAGGTTATTCCCCCATACCTGTGAGGTGAGCGCCTGTGAGAGGGTGAATGTGTGATCTCTGGCCCATTAGCCATCTTACAGTAAGTTTATTACACTCCTTAACCCACGCCTCGCACAGAGAAACAGTTGCGTATGCTGTTCCCACAAACCCTCCAGACAGAAGTCCGAACCGAGAGAGAAAGGGGAATTCATGCAAATACACTGATAAAAATAGGGACATTATAAGTGACAAAATCATATAAATTAATGTATCCAAGGAAGGTGAAGAATATAACTATTAGTGGAACTGAAATTGATTTCAGTATACTACTGTCTTTGATACTCTTTTTAAAATGTTCTATAATAATAATGATCATAATAATGATGACAATAATAATAATAATATACTCATGCTTAGTCAATCTATTGATATCGAACAACATCATGGTAACATAAATAAACAAAACACTCAAATACTATTTATGTAATTAAAACTTTATAACGAAAACTTTAATTTAAAATTGTGGTCTGACCGGATCTATTAATCAAACTATCCCTAGACTCCAGATGAAGTGCAGTGAATACAGGCACTTACAAGTCGACGGTTTTGAAGCCTAGAGGAAATTCCGGAGCTCAGCCCCGATTCGTTTAGCGGGAGGATGCTGAGTGACGTGCGATGAAGGACACAGAGCTGCTCTCCGTTTCCATCCGTAAAAGTAAAAACCGCTCATATGGCAGTAATACAGGCGACTGCATTACATTTGACCGAAAGACGAAAACACAGCCCTCAGGAGAATTAGCAGCCTCTAGCGGCGACCGTAGAGTGTGGCACAGGTGCCCGGCTTCCGAAAACCTCTTAACTTCTTTTAAACCTATTTATTTCCGCCCTTTTAATTACAAACAAGTGAGACGTAATCGTTTGGTAACACATACAAAATTATACAAGTACTTATTGTGTAATTGCCAATAGATTCTTTTAATAGATATTTTTTACAGTCAGTCGTTGGCACATAACCATTTCAGCTGCCCTCGGTAAATAAAAAAAGACATTTCTGGAAAAAATATCTATACATATATTTACACTTGATTCGTTAAACTAAATCAACAAAGGACTGTGCAGACAATATTTGTCTACAAAGTAAATTTTAAAAGAAAACTCCATTATGGGTCAATTTCACCAGTTCAGCCTTAACGATGCTGTTTGTGTCACATCGGAAAAAAAGTAATTTAAACCTCAAGTTATTTTCGCTAATTTCCAAATAGACAAACCAGCAAAAGGAAACTACACGGAGTGGCTTAATAATGAAATCACCGGAGTATAGATAAGCATGTCCTACAGTTTTAAAAACATTTTTGATTAAATAACAATAACAATACATGTTGGCAGTGTACTTTTGGTAAATGCAATGGACAGCATTCGATAACAGCATCGATCAGCATGCAGGTCATCACACCGTGCGTTGAAATGCCAACGCACTGACGCTAAATGAATGCCCTCAAATCTGTTCTCAGGTAGTCATATGGAAAAAATGTATACAAAGTATCACACGCCTTTAGAATAATATACACCTTGATCGCTAGACAGTAAATATGGTTTTATGTTTAAGATTAAAAAAAGTTATGTTCAAACAGTATACAGTATGCTGTCTTTGATATGACAGGATAAACAAATACCTTTCATAAGGTGATATAAAAATCATACAAAGCAGAATGCAAACCCTGTGCTGTAAAGTATATTTCAGTTGCATAAATACGTCATATTACATATATCTGTATGTGGCACAGATAATTCCATATAAGATATAAAATCAGTGCACTCTCTATCTAAAGGAAACTCAACCGCGAAATGTATGAACGTGAACATTTTTAAACAGGTAATGGACAACCAGTGCATTTTATTCTTGAAATAATCTATAGTAAAATTATTTTTACATTTTTTATAATGAAATTTAAGTTGCAGTTAGTTCCAGATATCTGAGGCACTGTTTACACTTGGTTTAAAAATGTGTCTTAATTGATCAGAACACAAGTGGACAGTCCTAAGTACAAGTATATAAATGACGATCAAGACACATTGTGATCCAATCACTCAAACCAGTTACTGAGGTGGTCTGGGATGCATTTCACCATATACCTTTCTAGTGTAAAGATAAATGAGTCACTGACAAGGACGTCAGAATAAGTGTACGCGGAGCAGTAACTAAATCTGAACACAAGTGGTCAACTGGACGCCTTGGAGACACCTGATAGACTCAAGTGTAAACAGCAGTGTGTCTTGGCTGCCTGTTTATGATCCGATTGATTAAGATACATTTTAAAACCAAGTGTAAACATGGCCTAATAGACACACAAAGGGCACCGATTCCTGATTAGCTACTAAATTAATGTCTAAAAAAAGTCAAATAGCATTCTTAAATTTTGAGATCCACTATATTATAGAGAGCACACTATAAATATAAAATTAAAAAAATCAAAAAAAAAGTAATACAAAATTAAAAAAATACATATATGGTGTATTTTGAGTCGATTCAGTTCCAAATTCTTTCAAAAAACATATTAACATCGTAAAAACTACAACCGCAAAACAGCCCCTTTGTCATTTGATCTGAGGTGAAAGACTTCTGGGTGAAAAGGTAAGAAAAAGGAACCTACGTTTAAAAAAGAAAAGGACATAGATCTGACATTCTGTATGGGGGTGTTTTATGCAAATAATAAGCCAGAAGCAAAGAAAAAATGACTTAAAAGTTTTGATTGGCCATTCATTTGTGTCAGCTAGCCCTGTCTAACACACATTCATTACAAAAGAACATTTGAATTATATTTGTATTTTGTAAAGCTGCATTACAAATGATCATCTCCAGATGCAATCAAGTTTATAAAACTGTATAAAACCAAAATCAGGCCACTACTGAATGTATTGCGTTTCTGCTTTCAACAGCTCAAAAGGGTCCCTCTAATACAGATGTGACAGCTAATAACCTAAATCTTACTGTTCAGTCACACTATACACTATATCAGCCCCATAAACAATAGCTGTACTATAATCTATGTGGTAGAGTTGGATGTTGAATGTGACATATGTACTGTAGATGTACAAATTAATGATAATTTAATAAATGTAGTTAATAATTTAAAAAAAGCCTAAATGCTTGCAGCAATGTAGCATTTGGTTTCGAAGATTCAGTCGTGCAATAAGGTTTTCCAGTTATACTACATGCATTTGGTTTGAATATATTTGGAAATATGGAGATTGACAAGCAGAACTTTTCATGGGATACAGGCGACAGAACCTCACAACATGTGACTGCAGGGTTTGAAACCTCACCTCCAGTTCTGCTTGTAAGCCTTCTCCCACCCGGTACTGTCCAGCAGATACTGTTGTTCCAAGAAAAGGCAGTTACAGTTGTACCCACGTCTACCTCGTCCTTTCCCCTGTTACGATTCATAGCTGAATAATGAACATTTCTACATATTCTGCTAAGACAACAACAAACATTCATTGAGGAAAAGGCATCCTAACAATGCACAACATAGTATTTTCCATTCTTATCTCTGTATCACTATGGTATTAATATAAATAATGATATGCACTTTGGTAAGTCATTCAAGAAAGTTCAAAGAACAGTTGATCAGGAATGCTTCTATGGAAAACATTTTCCAGGCAAAAACTGGCAGATTGTGGGAAGTTGACAGTTAAGTCTGGTGAAGAACTCTGCCCAGTCATTTTAATAATGTATCAATGGCTTGTTCCTAAGGAGTTTCAATTAATTTAATCTATTCTGTTATACTATGAGGTCAGAGTGGACACTTGTCCTAAAAATTTCTGGTACAATACCACTGCAACCTCTTTTCAGCTTGAGACAGAGGGAACATAACATGACTCGAATTAATATTGTGAGCTTCACCGGCATTTAAGTAGTACCACATGTATCATTATAACCAGAGGAAACAGGTTGAAGAAATGGAATAATATTGGTGGCATCAATTCCTTAACATCTGAAGTGAACATGATCTCCCAGATAATGCTGTTTATCGCAGTCTTCAGAAATTCAGTTGGATGTAGGCCTCAGCATCACATATCCTGCATGGTATCGTGCTATGAAATGGCTCGAAATTGTTTGAATGTCCCACTAGCTCATCTGGCTCAACACATCCGGCTGGACCCCCACTACAGAGGTAGAGTAGCAGTCTTACAAAGCCATAGAAGGGCTGGGAAATGGTGAATTGTGGGTCACATTATCCAAACAGGTATGACAAAGGTGCTGATTAACGATGCATCAACCAGGAGCACACTGTTGCTTATACAGTCATATCAGAATAACAGTCCTGTGTATATCTGAGAGAGAGGCATGAAAACAGTATCTATGTCCATATGGTTGATGGCATCAGGACATCAATATTTAAACTGATACAGTAATGCAGTTAAGCCTATGACTATAAGACGGACATGTCAGAATGGATCATACCAAGTTTAGCTGCCTAATTTAAACGAGTGGCTCTTGCATGTCATCACATACAGGGCATAGCTAATAAATCAATAGAAAACTGGGGAGAACATTATATATCTGGAAACTGATTCTAAAAATATACAATAGAGAACATTCACATTTTCTCTATTCTGCTATTATGACGTTGACTGTAGTGTGTGTATGTGCATGTGAGAGTGCCAGTCATACAAACTGGTGTACCTATCCATGTACATTAATGTTATGGCTGAAGCTGTACAGTATATCTGCATATGGTCACATTTTTCTGTTGGATATGTATTGTTGTCAGTCAGTAAATAGTTAAACAAGTGACTTGACAACTGCATTTGCCAGGCCAGTTGGACATAGCAGATTATTAGGTTAGGAATCATCAAAGCACTTTTCAGGTGGAAACATTTGAGCATCCAAGGTGACATCTGCTTGTTCAGTGAGCTGCTCTGAACTGTTGGATCACAGTCTTTACTGTTGGATAAACACAAACAGGAAAGTACACTATAAAAAGTCAATGTTCCTTTCACATAGTGAATAAAAATAAAAATTAAAAAAAGCAATACAAAGGGTGTACAAAACTCAAGGAACAAATTTGTAACCCAAAACCCAGTTGCTCTCTGTATGTGATGTCTTCAAGAAAAAAAATCAGTACAGGGAATTCCTGGCTTTTTTCTTTGGTGATGCTTTAGTCAGTGTTCTCACTGCTGCCCCCATCTGGAGATATCCTGCATTCCAGGCTGCTTGTCAAAAGCTCCCGCACATTGGAAAATCTGCACAAACTCAAAGATACCTTATGATTTCTTCAAGTTTCCTTATATGGCTGTGTGCAAGACATCTTCAAGAAATTCTCCATCCGCTCTTACTTCTTGGCCAGTTGAAAAGGATTCTGACCCTTTTGATGATAAAAAAATTTGTTCAACAGTAGTAGTGCATTAAAAAGAATAACAACACTAGAGGAAAGCTCAGCCATTGTTTATGTTTTTACAAGAGTAAAAATGTTTGAAAAAATAGACTTTTCCTTTATACTTCGTGGATGTTCACAGATATTTAATAAGCCCTCAGTGACAGAGCTGAATGTCTATATGAAGGATTATTTATTTTTATTTTTCAATTTGTTGGAGGTAAGCTTTCCTCTGAGCTATTAAATATGGTTTATGCAACTCATTCAAACATTGCAGTGCATGCGGTTAAGTGAAATACGGTTAACTTAAAACAGTGCAGAGCCAAAATTAAATCACAGACCATTCTCAAGATAAAATTTAATTAACTTCTGAAGACTCATATGACAAGAGTCCAGTACAAATTACCAGGTTTAATCAAAAAGATACTGAATGTGTTACACTGCTCTACGAACAAAACATTGACAACGTGTTTACACCCAAGCTAATCTGCGATCATTACACATGGAAATATTTCAGGAAGAAGTGGTGTATGGCAGATAGTCATTTGCAAATACAAAGGAAGGTTTGTACAGCTAATACCAAAGACTGACATTAAGAATTGCTTCACCACAAAGACTTTTATTCCATGGAGGAGCTGAAAGCACTGTGCCATCAAAAGAAGGAAAAGGTGAGTACGCCAAGGTTCGGTCCAGAGCCAGGTAAGTCTTTCTCACCAACGTGCTCCATGCTTCTGCAAGTAAGTTCTGCCCCAATGTGACGATGATGTCCATGTCTTTACCGCAAATGAATGGCAGTGGCTGAGCACAGGTTACCCCATGGAGCGGCATCGGGCGATTATTCTGCAATCCAGCACTGGGTGAAGTGTCCGGCGATGGTTACACGGTGAAGAAACATAGCTAATGGAAGTATCATTTAATACCACTACTATGTATTCATCTGAAGAAGGACTCAACAATGAACAGGCCTACTCTGACTTTTAAATATCAACAATTCAATGAGGTAAACTAGGACATAGTAGCATAAAAGCTGTTGCAGCAGCCTGCCTCACAGCGAGCAGCATTAAGGCTTATCATCATGAAAAACAATATAAGAGGAGCGTGTGAGTGTTAGGAAGCAGTAAGATGCGCTATATATAATCTGGCAGGAGATGCCATAAGGTATTTACACTTTACCAAGACAAAAAGATGATATATCAAGCTGAAGCTGAAAATTTACTCAAAAGGCTGTAACGGTACCACCCTCCCAGCATCAGTGTAGTACAGGCTGACATGCTGATGTGACTTGAGTTTTCAACCTTACTCTTAATACCTTGGTTGAAGAATTGAACCTTCAGTTCGAGTTGGGGACATCTTAATTAAAATCTTTACCAGAATATACGATTTTTAATTGCAAAACAGACCAATAAATATTTAATATGAAATTCATGAAGGGTTTGGAATAATATTCTCATTAGGTCAAAGGTCATCTGTTGTACAGCACCCTACTGTATAATACTCTACTATGTATGCTTATCAGCAGTGGTGGGCACAGCAAAGTTAGCTTTGATATTCACTAATACGGTAACTGCAAAGAGTAATTTAATAACACTTAACCGATAAGCCATTAAAATATTTAGTGGAAGCTAACAATAATCGCTAACTGCTAACTTTTATTATGACTTTAGCTTTGGTTTGGGTTTTGGCTCTAAAACCCTTAAAAAGATACTTAGAGAGCTAAAAGTTTACCCAAGTTACCAGTGCAAATTCTAGGCAAAATCAGCAGTATCTTGGCCTGGCAGCAACTAACAAGGACTCGGTTAGAGGAGACCCACATAGCACAGCTGTCTGGAAGCTCCCCTTTTTACACCAATGAGTATTCTGGGAGGGGTACTGTCATCTTGAGAGAAGTATTGTCATTCTGGGAGGGGTATTATTATTCTTGGGGGGGGCGGCGTGCTGTCTAAAAACGTTAATTTGTTGTTTCAGAAAATAGATGTACTACGTGAAGTGCCAACCTTTTTCACTTCATCTTTTGACCATTTTAATGAGTTTCATGAAGAATTAATTAGGAACTTTGAACTCCATGTTTCCAGCCTCACAATTCAGTGCAGCATGGTCTAATACAAAACATTATAATCCAATAAATTAGTAGGCAATGTCCCTTCACATTATGCACAAATATCATGCAAATGCAGTAACAGTATACTTCTTAAACATATTGAAATATTGCAGAGGCATAAAAATCCATTACACAAATGGTCAGTAATTAAAAATAAACCGTCTGTACAAAAATTTTGCATATTTCTTTTCTTGTTTTAGTCCCTTAAAAAGCACATAAAAAAAGTACAAAAATAAATATTCTATGTACAATTACACATGCCAGAGTAGGATAAGAATCACTGCAAAAAAAAAAATACAAAAAAGATTAATCCATGCCCTTCACAAGTTAGTCATCAGATCAAAAATTTATCATCCATAAAGTCATAGGCAATGATTCAATAAGGTGCAAGCATTAAAAATCTCCATTGCACAATTTTTACAGTATATGATGACAAGATGGGTTTATATACAATGGGTGGGGTCAAAGGGCAGACTGCATATGCATGCTGTTGTAAATTCCACAAGAAGGCTGAAGCAATCAAAAAAGCTGTATTCCACTTACTTTATTCCAACAGCCTGGAACTGGCAAGCCATCATCACCCTGGCAAAGAGATAAGACACAAGTGAACAAGTGAGCAGGTGTTGTGATCTATACTCATACCAAATGTCAGGACAGCATGCAATCAAGTTCATGGTAAAAGCCCATGGTGAACCTGAGAGAAGATGTGCTGCGTTCAAGGAGTCAAAGTGAGCCATGGCTGTATTTTATGTACAAGGTTTAAAATGTGCTGTATTGTTGGGGTTTACCGACTAGAGTGTAACGTCTAAGACCCCTAAAATCGGCTGATTATCACTCAGTGTTTTGTACCCCTGAGGTTCTTTTGAGTATATCCCACAAAGACCACTGGGATGGAGCAGTACAGTGGCCCTCGACGAGGTGGAAGGCTGTTTGTCTTATCACAACCCCCCAATGCCCACCATCCTCCACTGTTGGATCAATACCAACCGGGCTGCTTCTTTGGCCCACACGGGATTCCCTCTTCACACCCCTCCACATCAGCTTCCAGGGAATTTCCCAGAATGCCAAGCTGTGTACCCCATGACCCAGGTATGAGGGTGACCACAAAGAGAAGTTGATAGCACGTTGTCTAGGTGATGCCAAGAGGCACAAGTGATAAAGGTGGGTAGTGGGCCGGAAACCGGGCAGGACACAGGGGTGTCTGTTAGTGATGGATTCACACACATGACGCTGAGGGATATTAAGCTTTTGCTTCTTCAATGCATTCATATTACTGAAGAGCTTGGAGATATTTCTCCTCAAGTTTTGGCTGTCTTCTTCCTACTGTTAGTCTGTGTTGGGTACAGCACAAGTTTAATTCCTTTTTAGACAGTGAGCATGCAGTGAAGTGGCATTTTTGCAATGTAGTAGGTCAGCTGTGTACAGAGGTGGTTTCCTTTAAGTCCTGTCAGATATTTATAAGAATGACTTGTACTCATTGAACTTTAGTTAGATTAGATTAGTATGGTTCAGTGAGATGTCAAAGAGCTGAACAAACCAAGGACATAAGTAACAAAGGGGGAATACTGGGGAAATTAGCGCCAGCTAATTGTTTAGTGTGGCCATAGCAAACTTTACCCATGTGTGATGACAAAAGTCAGGGCTGGGAAATACCATATTTTAAACATATGACAAAATACTTGAGGTCGAATATTTCTGCATGCTTTAACAAACCATTACAAACAACTATGGCTGACATATTAGTGTATCAGAATCTGCCCAGCCCCAGCTGCTGGCCCCACTCCTGGGCTGAAGGGTTAGGGTTAGGGGCACACAGCCATGCGAGAGGGAAGGGAGAGGACACCCTACCACAGGGCACGGGGCATCCAGCCCGTCCAGGCCCGGTAGACCCGGTTCACCTTTCTCCCCCTTAAAGCCTCGGAATCCCTGTTTGCAAAATCAATGACCGTCAACATCCAGGCATCCAGAGGTCACCGGGGGACATCATGCCCCCCCCCACCCCACGGGGGCAGGCCTGCGCAGTACACGCACTTATGCATGCAGGATGCCCCTGACTGCTAGGAACAGGCTGACAAGGGCCAGGGTTGGGGCATCAGGTAGGTCAAGGATCTAATCTTAGATTTGCTTGGGGAAATATTTTTAGAGGATGTTTTAGAGGGTGATAGTGCTGCGCAGATAGAGGACCTGCACCTCTGATGATGAGGCCATGGACTTTATTCCCAGGAAAACACCAACAATATAACCAGAATTTGGAGCTGGCAAAATAGGCAGAGGTAAATGTAATCTGGGCTATACAACCTATGGATGTATTCTCCCAAACTGTTATGTGAACCCGGAACTGCATTGAGGGCCCATGCCACTTCCATGTTCCCGTCAGTCTCAGTCCTAATCCTGAAAGGGAACCCCTTCCTTAGGTCATGGTCCGTGGTCCTGCAGAGCTGTGCTGCATCCAAATGCACGTGTGTGTCCCTGGAAAATGAGGCTGATGACGGCAGCTGCTGGCTGTCCAACCAGGGCCAGAAGGTACTATAAACACAAGGCCATTTGGACCACAACCGTTCAGGGAGAGTTTGATTAGTTAGAGGCCAAAAAGGAAGGAGACCACAGTAAACCAGCTCTGAAAATGTGTGGGTTGTTTGAATATGGTTGGAGAGAGTGTTTTGTTTATGCTAAATGACTAACAGACCATTTAATGGCATTAAACTGTCTCACCAAAAACACCAAGCATTTTTATTCACCTAGCTAAAAATCTATTTAGGTTATTTATATCTGTTATAATGGTATAACAGGAAAATTGAAGGTTCTGTAGCCAAGTAACCATCTACAGAAAACCATTTACTGACTGGTCCCCTTCATCTTAGGCCCCCAACTGTCACTGAGCACATACTCAACATACCAACGGACACGGGGCATCTAATCCAGGTGCTCCTTGGTCTCCCTTATCCCCTTTGGCCCCCCTGTTGCCTTTCTTGCCCCTCTCTCCCTGCAAATAATAGTGCATTCAGAAAGACAGGGTTCAGACCTCCTCGCTCTGCCAGACCAGATCAGCAGATCCGCCGAGAAGCACCATCACCTACTCGACTCCTTCCAAAAAACACCCAGAGATGTCTCAGGTATTTCAGAAAATAATAAAAAAAAAAAGACAACTAAAATATAGATGTGCTTTATTAAAATGGGAATTTGGCACACAATGTTTTGAAAGTGGCAATTTAGGGGTCAGATGTCAGTGTCAAGGGTGGGAGGGACAAGGGGCTGGAAAGTTAGGAATAGGAAAAGAACCTCATGCTGTTGGTGAGGGGTTCTGCTACATTCATTGCTGTCCCATTCAGTCACTGATTCCTCTGCCTGATTACCAGCTAGCTAGCTGCACTACATGAGTGATTACCTACATAATAACAGCCAAGGCCCTGTGAAAAACAGCTGCATTCACAGATCATAGAATGAACCGTTATATTCAATGTAAAACTGAAGACTAAAAAGTGAAACAGCTCTGAATAACAGCATCATCTATTCTAATAAGTTCATTCAAAGCCATGTTCTGCATCTTCAGAAATGAATTAATGCAACGCATTTATTAAGTACAGCATTTCAGTCTAGGAATCAGAGCATTCCAAATGGCAAAAACAACTTCAGTTACAAGCACAGCCAGCGAACACCTGCAACATCTGTGTATTATTAAGTTAATTTGTGATCAGATTACAAAATTTGAAAATTAAATGGCATTGTATGAAACAGAAAATACAGTAAGTAATGAATTATCAATAATTTCCAATTACCTATTTTTCCCAGGATAATCAGTGAAAAAACTAATTTGTGAGGACTGATGGTATGTCTGCGTAATTGATTGAAAACAGCTGCCAGGTTATATATAGTGAACCCCAAGCTCTCAGCTACTCCTGCCAAGTTCATGAGAACGTCTCCATTACAGATAGACACCCACTACGAAATCCCTTTCATGTTTACAAGGCACCAGGAGGCAATTTAACATGAAAATGCTTCTTTTGTGTGTCAACCTCAAAATTACTCTACAGATATATTTTCCATGTAACCTGGAGGTCACCGAACCTTGCCTAAACTGAATTACAGGTCCTCTCACCAAGGGCATGGGCTTGGGGGATCAAAACAACATAAATATGTCTAGCGTGGCTATTGGGGGTAGACAGAGGTATAATACAGCTAGCCACTACATGATGGTCTCACAACGCTGAGCTTTCTTACAGGAGGCTTGGGTGCGCCACTGCAGCAACACACAAATGTTTACAGAGCATCTGCAGGAGCGTTGAGAGAGCGTTACACACTAGCCTTAGAGGAGGAGGAGGAGGAGATTAATGGTGGGCTGACAGGTGTGAGAGGGCAGGAGAGGAGGATTAACCCAGGCTACGCATTAGAATGTAGAGGAGCAGGAGGCCAGGGGGTGAGAGGGAGAGAAGGCAACCCAGCGAGGAGCCAGGAGACACAGGATGGGGTGCAGGGGGAAGGGGAAGAGGGAGACCTGTGGAAACAGAGGAAGACAGCAAAGAGATAACACGGCAAAGAGTCGTGCATAGTTTTCAGCACCGTGAAGGAGATGCTTGCTCCTTCACAGAGCCAAAAAGCAGGCTTGAAGCCCTAGAGATGGGTCTCTATGACCACCTGCATATTTGTACTGGAGTAAAGCTGTAGAAGGCACCATGGGAGCATGGTGCTTCAAAATCAGAATAAGTCCAAAAGCATATTGTTATACGTTGGCTATTCCCACTACATTTGCATGAATAGTTCATTTGTTATATATTTGGATAGGCAAAGAGTAACATTTGACTTGGTGCTCTGACAAACAATGACATATCTCGACTCTCAGAGTGGGAAAGAGTGCAGATCAATGTTAATGGGACACACACAAACCCAGTGGGACGACAGGAGCTAGTGCAGGCTTAGCATAGAGAAATCACATGTTTGTTGAAAGGTAGGACTGTTCACATGACACTAAATGAGTGTAAAATAAAGGAACATCCCATCTCATGGTTGGGAATGGCCACTGGGGGGAGCCGTTATCTTCAGGCTAATTTCCTGACAACTTCTCAAAGCTAATTATTTATCTGCAACGAGATATAGGTGAACTGTTTTAAAACAAGCTTTTATTGTGTTAAGGCCAGTTATTCTGCTGGTTAAAATGTCATTTTAACACAGTCATCATGCGTCAAGGGATTTAAAACGGGATATAAAGTCAGGTAAACATAAGCCAGGAAGTATATCAGCCAAAATGGAGATGGGCCAGGGTCCAAAGACACAGTGAACCACACTCAGGGGAGCAAAGTGGAGAACATCTGCGTCCCATGATCATTTATAGCATTTTAGTAATAAAGAGGCTGACTAGCCCCCCTTATTATAATTGAGGGGATGGCGGCGATGGGGATCTGGTCTAACTATGCGGTCCTCTTTAGTCAGCAGGACACTGAACTCTACATGCAAACATTACGTATTTCAGCTTTCTGGCACAGCATCAAACAGTGATCGGCCTTTTGAATCCTCTAAGAGTAGCTGCTCTTAGCGAATGAGAGCGCTTTCATCACGCAGACGCGCTCCCCCGCCTTTCCATCATTTACACTCATTTAGCCTCTGCAGAGTTCAGACTAACTCTGATGCTAATCTGAAGTGAAAAGCTGCTGGAAAACAATGAGTTTCACCTTACAGAAGGCAAGGACAGGAAGGTCATTAATCATTCAAAATACATGAATTACAGAACAACTGAATTTCAAACAACTAATATTTAATTCTTTTTACGCATGCTATAATTTTCCCTGGAGTACTGAACAAAGAACTGAAACAAATTTAATACCGGTTAATTTATATTGACCAAACTATGATAACTGAGAATCCACGATGCTCCTTTTCACATGCCTAATGCTTCAAAGCAGCAATGGCACAAATATACAGAGGGTGTGAGTTTTTCCTCAGATAGATAAACACACCCAGATGCCATGACAGAGTTACGCTGCTCATCCAGGCGTGCCTGCTATGTGTGAAGTGACAGCACATTTACAACACTAAAGAACATGCCTCTACCTGAGAAACCACACTAAGGCTTTCCCAGAAAGCCAGCACATGCCAGGAGCATGGGGGATTACAGCACCTGCCCTGCTCTTTAATATGCTTGTTTTTTCATAATTCAAACTTTAATATTTTTATTTCTAAATAAATTCATTTTTTGGCTTGAATTAATGTTTACTTTGAACTCCAGGAAAATTCCCTCAGTAAAATTTATACACTAACGATTGCAAACCAATTACAAAAATGAGTTTTCTTACCCGATTGCCTTTCAGTCCTTGTGGTCCTACTGAACCCTTGAACGCAATGGAAAACAGTGAGATGTTAAACTGTTTATTGGTTCTAATGCACAGATCATGACAGTGCATTAGTCATAAGGACACTGTTTCTTAGCACGGTAATGTTTGCCTTCTGTATCCCTGCTTGTGTCTGTGTACTACTTGTGTATAGAAATCACTTCCCAGATATCCACTTCCTCTCATTTTCTTCTCAGTTTGCTCTCCCTGCTAACAACATGTTTACAGAGAGTCTGAAATGATAAGCAGAGCTGCCCGGCACATCCTCTGTGCACTGGAGGGACAGCCCACCCCGACACAGCTGGACAGGAGGATGCATGTAAGCATGCATTACGTAGAGCAGCTGGACATACTTACAGGGATGCCCTGTAGGCCGCTTGGTCCTGGCACGCCTGAATCTCCTTTGTCTCCCTATGTCAAGAAAAAAAGGACATTGCGAATAATGATATTATATTCATCCCCTTTGGAAAATAGTGTTTTCACCTGACCTGCCTTGCTCTTCATGAGACACACAGACACATATAGAGGTGAGAGCAAGCTTGGGGATCAACGTGCTGGGGCAGCCAGCATTGGGAACCCTGGAGCAGTTGGGTTTATGGGCCTTGTTCAGGAACCAAACAATGGCATCAGTCTGTAGGCCACAGGATTTGAACCAGCGACATTCTGATCACAGACAAACCCTAACCCACACACTGCCATACATTATCTGCATTCTGCCAGCCAGTAACAACAAATAAATGATGGGAGCGCTCAACAAATATTTAGTTTAGTATTACATCCAGCTATACTGCTGACTATAAAGGTATAGTATAGCCTACTGCCTGCTGGATCACAGTTTTTGTTTTGCAAAAAAATAAGTAACTTACATCCCTTACAGCTGATTAGGCTGATGCATGCTTCTGCCAGTGTTAATTAACGACTCTCACCTTTACACCTTTTGGTCCTGCTGGCCCTTGAATGCCCACTGGTCCAGTCAGACCCTTTGAAGTGAAACAGAACCATCAATCAGCTTAAATGTAAAGTAAACTTTGGTTAAATGAGAACAAGCTTATTATACCCTAGAATCAGAGGGGGAACTGAACAGAGGAGAATTTCTTAATTGGTGTGTTTTAATTTATACCATTTTCAAGAACACCAGCCTTCTTACGCTGGTGAACTTTAAACATGACACGTTAGCATGTTACTAAGAGCCATGTTTTGAGGAATTTATAAACACATTCATAACAAATAGCAATCCATTCATAAAGTATTATAAACATGGCTATAAATATTTATGACAAGGCATAACACATTATAGCCATGTTTATTACACATTATGATTGCCTTAGGCAGCTCTCATGTATAATGCACTATGGATACCTTTATAATGCATTAAAATGGTTCGTATAAGCATTAAGAATGCTTTCTATTGGAAATTACTAAAAACATGGCCTTAAGTAAAGTGTTACCCATGACACTTATACTATCATATTCTCTTCTCATTTTAACAGCTAATTACCAGCCTTTAACCTCAGGGAAATGTGTACATATAACACTGATATATAGATATATTGCATCATGCAGTCGTATCCCAGCATGCTTCACTGTTACGTAACAATGGAAAGAATTTACAATGGCACAGAATATCTGCATTAGGAAATTTCACTCTGATTCACGTGCTGTTTTTGACATACCCACCTGACAAGTCTAAGGTTTTGGCTTTGGCTGAAGGTGATGTCTGGTAGCTCAGCCACAGCACACCACCTCCGATAATGCATGGACAACCTCCACATACAATTGCTGTTTCCAACTTACAAGTCATAATGTTCAAATTACTGCCCACTGTTTGAATGTGGGCAAACACGTGACTCAGTGTGGGACCAGTGTTGCCCATGCTGGGGCAGACTGAACGGGTGTCTGCACCAGGTCTCCCCCAGGGGGTCAGAGAAGCGGGCCTCTCTGCAGGAGAAGAGGCCCAGTGCAGGAGACAGTAGGCCGAGAGACATGCATGTAGATGAACGGGCAGACATACAGGCATGACGACTGACTGCATGCATGTAGACAGGCAGGCAGATAGGCAGAAGCAGGGCGGGGGCATGGGAAGGTGGGGGGGGCGTGGATGTGAGCCACTCACCACTGGACCAGGCTTTCCGTCTAAACCATGAGCCCCCTGGACAGTGTGTAAACAGTTAGACAGGAGAGATGGTGGGGTGGGGTGGGGAGGGGTGTGTGGGTAGGGGTGAGTGAAGCAGTGACTGGTAGAACTTACAAACACCTCCTGATTGGGTGACCAGGACTGCATATTGGTGATGAAAAAACCAACAGTAACTCCTTTTGAAAAGTGTTGTGTTCTACATGAGTATAAATAGCAGTGGGTTGTGTGAAATTTTACAGGAAAAGAAACAATAAATTACTGCATATTGCTGGTATGTTTAATACAGTAAGGACCAATTAAGGAAGCTGAAGCTTTAGTTTTAACAATTTACCATCATAGTTAACAGGATAAACTGTAATCCAGTAGCGGTGAAAAGGCTCAACGGTATCTGATAGATTGGATTTGTTTTACATCAAAAGGAGTTACTGTACCATTGATGGAGTTACTTTTAATTGATCAATGACCTTTGACAATGCACAGATAAACCATACATCAACAGAAATGGCTCCACCAGGAGCGTTCAGCATGTCAACATGAAACGTCTACATTTTACACAATGCTAAGGAAATGAAATTAAATGCCACATATTTCCTCACATCTGCCTTTAAGTCACCACATCTTGGGTGACCATCAAATATAGTCACGTGTATGGAGTACTCGAGAGTGTAGATTTAGTATGTTTTCTGGGAGGAGCTGAAATGCATACAAGGCCACTTTCAGTTGGTTGATTGTTCTGTCACTACACTCATGGTGGAGTTGCAGTAGTATTCTGGAAGTTTTAGAAGACTGGCAGCAAATCATCAGCTCCGAAACTGCTCTTTGAATCAAGAGAAGCAGAGAAAAGTCCTGCTGGAGCCCGAAACTCTGAATGAATGAACTTTAATTAGCCAGTGAGGAGCAAAATGGGCTTAATTTTCATTACCAACATCTTTGGCAAAATAACTATCCACGCTCCTTAATTACCTGGGTTCTCAAGTTCTTGGTACAAAATAAAGTACAACAGACAGCACAGGCAGTTAGCTGTGTCTTAGCTTACTGCTAAGGGGCACTCGCATTGTTAATAGTCCGTAAAGCAGCCTAGCGGAAGCAGAGGCATACAGGGTCAATACTCACAGGCAATCCTAGGTGTCCTCTGTCCCCCTTGTCTCCCTTCAGCCCAGGTCCTCCCTTCTCTCCCTTCATGCCAATGCCAGGCTCCCCCTGGAGCACATAAAATAGAGCCTCTTTGAGTTCTGCATGTAGACAAAACAAAAGTAGACTTTCGATATGTCATAAAATGAATGGGCAAAAGCACAGATGCGTCTTGACATCAATAATACAGCACAGATTGGGCTGCCATCATCTCTTACCTTTAGACCCAATAGTCCTGAAGGCCCCTGGAATGCGCAGAAATGGATTAAAGAAGGTTGCCAAGATGAAGATGACATCCAGACATACCAAAAAACCACTAACCAACTTTAACATGTCCCACAAGTGCCTTTATGGTATGAATATCCACATTGTGCATGAACACAATGCACAATGCCTGCACATGCATGTATACATGTGCAGGGAACCCTGGGGTCATTGGCAAAATAAGGAAAAATGCATAAATGGTCATGAAACTCCTCCCATTGGTCCTTACAGCAGAGAGCATAGTGAACTTGCTGTTCATACTCACCATAGGACCGACCGGACCTTGAGGTCCTGGGGACCCTTGAGACCCGGGAGGTCCGGGTGGCCCGTACACCTGCAAAGCAGTAACAGGTCAGGTCTTCTGAGTCTGTGTACCATCTTACAGGACTGTACTAATCCTCCATTTACCACCTAAAACCCAGATGTGAATTGTCTGTCTGTTCTTGCAGAAATGCCACGTTACATAAGAACATAAGAAATTTACAAACGAGAGGAGGCCATTTGGCCTATCAAGCTCGTTTGGGGAGAACTTAACTAATAGCTCAGAATTGTTAAAATCTCTGATTTTCGTAAGACATTCCTCTAAGACCAGGAATCATTCTCGTAGCCTTACATTGCACCCTTTCCAAGGCAGCAATGTCCTTCTTAAGGCATGGTGACCAAACCTGCGCACAATATTCTAGGTGGGGTCTTACCAAGGAATTATATAATCGTAGCATCACCTCCCTTGACTTAAACTCCACACACCTAGCCAACATCCTATTCGCCTTTTTTATTGCTTCCCCACACTGGCGAGAGTGGGACGTGGAAGCATCAACATACACACCAAGGTCTTTCTCGTAATAAGCTACCTTTATTTCAGTGGAACCTATAAAATATCTGTACTTTATATTTCTGCTCCCTGCATGAATTACCTTACATTTATCTATGCTAAATTTCATCTGCCAGGTATCAGCCCAGTCGCTAATTAAATCAAGATCCCGTTGTAGCCTCTCTGCTGCTAGATCAGTATCTGCTACACCACCCACCTTGGTGTCTCTGCAAATTTAACCAGTTTACTGTATGTATTGGTGTCAATATTATTAACGTAAATTAGGAACAATAGTGGTCGTAAAATTGAACCCTGCCGTACCCCACTATGAACGCAGGCCCACTGTGACATTGTGCCTCTAATTATTAGACTGGTTAACAGACTAGTAGTAGTTATTAGAGTTATTAGAGTCTAATAACTACTCACTGCTTCCTGTCTGTTAACCAGTTATCGATCCAAGCTGCTATAGTTCCTAAAATCCCTGCAGCTTTGAGTTTAAGCAAGAGCCGTTTATGGGGGACAATGGAATAGTAAAGTCAAAGGTTGGCTAATAATATCCCTCATATCTTTTTTAAACTATAGGTAAGATGCCATCAGGGCCCTGCGATTTATTTACTTTGAGGTTAGTTAAGTTTTGTACCACATTAGCCTCAGTTATACATATATTGGTCATAGACAACGCTGTATTAGTACTAAATGGTGGTAAGTTACTCGTGTTCTCTGCTGTGCTCTGCTCACGCGACACCCGCAGCTATTGATAACACTCGCACTGTTTATTAACAAGAACAGACAAGCACTAATGCCGATCCGAAAAAAAATCAAAAGTGAAGCAACAACCACCCACGCAACCGTACTGGCACACAAACACTCAAATATACTTCCAAATAATTCCAGTCAACCGCTTCAACAGGCAACACAACACAAGTGCACACAGCGTCTACACCACTCCCTCACAGTGCAGCAATCCCAGCCGCCTCTCCAGAATGCAGAAGTTGTCAGCTTTCCCCTTTTCCCAAATGCTTATTCACAATAGCAGCACTTATGTGGAACGAATGGGCAGTCTTGAACACAGCAGTGATTTACAAGATATAAAAGGCCTTTAGGATGGTATCAGGCAGGGGCTGGTATACTACTAAGGATGCTATTCACACAACCAAACACAGCAAAGGGAGAAGCCTTACTGCATCAGATCTTTCACCCTTCTCTCCAGTTTCACCCTTCTGACCCTAAAATGAGAAGCAAAACAAGCACAGTAACATTGAGTAAAATGGAATCATATTCATCTGTGTGGTTTTGGCTTCCACAACCAACCACGAGGCTGAAGACACCTCAGACATGAATGCTGTGCCGCATACCGTCAAGCCAGGCATTCCGACTGGGCCGGGCGGTCCAGCAGTCCCTTTCTCACCAGTAGGACCATCTAGCCCCTACGGAACAAAGTAGCAGAGAACTTTTATAGGAAACATGCACGTTGTATTTCATTACGAAAATACATTTTGTGCATTTAGGGCTCACAAATGCATTTTCATTAATTATTTTGATGACTGGGATATTGAATGCTGGTCAGCTGACTTCTTAAGAGGCAAAATTCCCATTCTGAAGTGTTATTCAATGGTTTTATGTACATTGCTCAATCAAGTCCAGGGGGGAAAAAACATTCAAATCAATATCTATAGCTAGACTGGAAGCAGACATTGACTTTCCATGAGCATTTGTGGCTGATGGCAATGGAATGGTCTGGTCCTTTATCTAAGAGGCACATATGCTGTGGAGTATGCCACTTACAGCTGACCCGGGGGGGCCCATGTCTCCCTTGTCCCCTTTGGATCCAGGCAAGCCAATGATACCAATCTGTCCCTTGGGACCTTCAGGACCCGTGGGTCCAGTCTCTCCTGGCTTCCCCCTGGGGCCCTAGAGAGTAAGCAAGCATCACCAAAGTCACTCTGCTCATCGATTATCTTTAGCGCTCAGCGGGAGGCTCAGCGGTACAAATCATGCATGTCTACACTGTTTATCTAGGGTACCTTTTCCCCATCAAGACCTGGAGCCCCTGGTAATCCAACTTCACCCTGAAGAAGGGCAAACAGTTGAAGTGAAAAAAACAAACTAAACTGCTCAAGGTAATCAAAAATGACAGGAATGTAATATTATTCTGTTATTTTCTATTTAAAGAGTGTTTTCATTGCCAAAAATCTTTCATGTTATTTAATCCACAAGAAATTCTTAAGTCAAAAAGCATTTGGTTACAGAAGGGAAATAAATCATGCAATGCCTTGACTTTGTCATCTACTAAATTACTGTAAATTATAGTCTGTCATCCATGCTATTACTCCACATTATTCTAATAGTTAGGACGCAATGAAGATAAACCACAGTACAAATTCCAGTTCAGGTACTTAATCTCTGAATGTTCACACATAGGTAAAAAGAAAAAAACAATGGTGAACCCTATGGCCTGCTTAAGACATGAGCCCCGGATTGGGTCCTCTAGCTCTTACATCTGCAGATCATCGACACAGAGTGAGTCAGCGTTGCTCTGGTGACAGACCCGATCCTACCTTTGGGCCTGCAGTTCCAGGAACTCCAGGGGGTCCTGGCGGTCCTGGGGGGCCCTAAATTAAGTAATTTTATTGGTTTGAACAATTTCTAACAAATGAACAGTATGCCTTACCATATTACACACTTAAGAGCAAATGCAAATGACATCTACATATGCAGTACTGAGCCAAAGTCCTAAGCAGTCAAAGGAAATGTTTAAAGCTATTTATCTGAGTAGTTAGGAGTATATGGCGCCACGAAGGAGTGCAGTGGTTTCTCAAGCTCCCAGTTCAGCACTCAATTTTTGTGTTTTTTTTTTTGTCAGTCAAAATTAATGTATGTGAAAGAAAGTGTGCACTAAGACTGTATGTTACAGTCCATCTGACCTCCGGGAAATTAACATCAGGATGGATGTGAAATTACCACTGTATTTCAAATCAAGGCTGGCCAGATCGAGGCTACTGAGGACTGTGGCGTGGCAGAACAACACACAGCAGCTCAGAGGCAAGAGGAAGTGGTACTCAAGGAAACACTACTAGCTAAGCTAAAGGCTAACCACATCAGACCACTGATTCCATCACTCTTCCTAGCTAACATACGTACACTGGACAACAAAATAGACTTTCAACAGCTACATATGAGTGTAAATCAGGAGATGAGGAACTGCTACATACTTATACTGACTGAAACGTGGCTAAACTACAACACGCCAGACTCAGCCTGCCAGTGTAGTGGTTTCCAAGCCGATGGGAATGATCTGTCGGGGTCTCTGGGTCTATCAACAAAGGTTGGTACACAAATTGTTCCACCATGAGCAGCCACTGATCTGAAGCAGTCGAACATCTGATTATCAAAAACCAGCCACACTAACAAACATGGGAATTGGCTGTGTTTACATCCCCCCCCCAAGAGGCGCTCAGTGAGCTACAGTTAAAGTAAAAAGTTTATGAACCCCTTGGAAATTTCTAGATTTATGTATAAATTCCCATATAAAACATAGTCGTATCTTCATGTATGTCACAATAATTAACACATACAGTCTCCTATAACTACAGATAAGCAAATTTCAGAGAATTTCTGACCATATTGAATAATTCATTCAAACTGTGAAACTGAAGGTTGGAAAAAGTAAGTGATCCCTAAGCTAATGACTTTTTAAAAAGCTTTTTGCAGTTAGAATTTAGCAAACCTGGAGTCCCTTTAATGAAACAAGTTCAGAGCTGTGGCCCAGAATTACTGTGATTGATAAAAACACTGAAAAGTTTGAGTTTGAGCTGTTGACAAGAAGCATATCCAGATGAGAATCATGCCTCGCACAAAAGAGCAAGAATTGTTAATTGACATATGGCTGGAAAGGGTTACAAAGTCATCTCAAAGATTTTAGATATTCATCATATTCATCATTCTACTGTTAGGCGAGTTGTCTATAAATCGAAGCAATTTGGCCTAGAAGTGGGTGTCCCTTCAAGATGACCCCAAGAGCACAACGCAAAGTCATCAATGAGGTAAAGAAGAACCCTAGAGACACCCCGAATGATTTGAGGAGGTAATTCGAACTGGCTAAGATCTCTGTTCATGACTCATCAATATGCAACACACTGAACAAGAAAGAGTCCATGGCAGGACACCAAAAAGGAAGCCACTGCTGTCAAATAACATCATTGCTGCACACCAGAAGTTTGCATTAGAGCACTTGGACACTCCACAATGGTCCTGGGAAAATGTCTTGTGGTGTGACAAAACCAAAAATGAACTATTTGGGAGGAACAAGAAGAATTTCATTTGCTATAAAAAGGGCACTGCATATCAACATCAAAACATCATCCCTACAGTAAAGTATGGTGGAGGGAACATCATCATTTGGGCCTGCTTTGCTGCATCAGGGCCTGGACAGCCTGCCATCACTGAGGGGAAAATTAATTTCCAAGTTTATCAACAAATTCTCCTTTATAATGTGAGTGTGTCTGTCTGTCAACTGAAGCTCCGAAATGGGACAATGACCCCAAACATCGCAGAAAATCCACAGCATAATGGTTTCAGAACAACAAAATCTGCCTTTTGGAGTGGCCCAGTCAGAGCCCAGATCTCAATCCTATTGTGTTCCACTCAATTTCATCAGTATGTGGACTTTGCAACGAGAGAACGCGCTGGATCTTGTTTACACAAACATTCCCGGCGCGTACAGCGTGGAGCCACGCCCCCAACCTCGGATACTCAGACCACATCTCTGTTATGCTAATTCCAGCATACAGACCGCTCCTCAGATGCTCTAAACCGGTTCTGAAGCAGGTGAGAACCTGGCCTGCAGGAGCCATCTCTACTCTTCAAGACTGTTTTGAGCACACTGACTGGCACATGTTTAGGGAGGCTGCATCCAACGGCGACAGCATCAACCTGGAGGAGTACACATCAGTAACTAGCTACATCAGCAAGTGCATCGATGACGTCACTATCTCCAAGATCATCAACGCGAGGACAAACCAGAAGCCGTGGATGACTGCGGAGGTGCGTGAGCTGCTGAAGACCTGTGATTCTGCCTTTAAAGCAGGAGACAAGGCGGCCCTAAGAACAGCGAGGGCCAAACTGTCTCAGGCCATCAGAGCAGCGAAACACGCCTACAGGCAGGAAATCCACAGTCACTTCAGGGACAGCGGTGACACACGGCGCATGTGGCAAGGTATCCAGGCCATCACCAACTACAGGACAACAACACCTGCCTGTGATGGTGATGCCGCCCTACCCGTTATGCTGAATGACTTCTATGCACGGTTCGACGCACAGAACGACGTAGCGGCAAAGAAATTCTCCCCCTCTCCCAACAACCAGGTGATATGTCTGACCACAGCTGATGTGAGGAAAACTCTTCTCAGAGTTAACCCACGGAAGGCTGCGGGGCCAGATAACATCCCAGGGAGAGTGCAAACCAGAGAATGTGCAGACCAGCTGGCAGATGTATTCACTGACATCTTCAACATGTCTCTGAGCACCACTGTCCTTCCCACGTGCTTCAAGACCATCACCATCATTCCTGTGCTGAAGAAGTCTCCAGTGCCCTGCCTCAACGACTACCATCCCGTAGCACTCACACCTATAATCATGAAATGCTTCGAGAGGCTCGTCATGAGGCATGTTAAGACCCTGCTGCCACCTACTCTGGATCCTCTACAGTTCGCTTATTGTCCCAACCGCTCCACGGACGATGCCATCGCAACCACCCTTCACCTGGCACTCACCCACCTGGACAAAAAGGACACATATGTTCGAATGCTGTTCATAGACTTCAGTTCAGCATTCAACACAATCATTCCTCAGCACCTGACAGAAAAGCTAAACCTGTTGGGCCTGAACACCTCTCTCTGTAACTGGACCCTGGACTTCCTGACCAGCACCACCACACTGAGCACTGGGGCCCCTCAGGGCTGTGTGCTCAGCCCGCTGCTGTTCACTCTGCTGACTCACGACTCTGCAGCAATGTACAGTTCAAACCACATCATCAAGTTCGCCGATGACACGACCGTGGTGGGTCTCATCAGCAAGAACTACGAGTCAGCATACAGGTGAAACGGCTAATGGATTGGTGCAAAGTCAACAACCTGTCTCTGAATGTGGACAAAACAAAAGAGATGACTGTTGACTTAAGGAGACCACGGAGCATCCACTCACCGTTGAACATCGATGGATCCTCTGTGGAGATCGTCAAGAGCACCAAATTCCTCAGTGTTCACCTGGCGGAGAACCTCTCCTGGTCCCTCAACACCAGCTCCATAGCCAAGTAAGCCCAACAGCGTCTCTACTTTCTGCGGAGGCTGAGGAAAGCCCATCTGCCACCACCCATCCTCACCACTTTCTACAAGGGGACGATCGAGAGCATCTTGAGCAGCTGTATCACTGTCTGGTATGGGAATTGCACTGTAACAGACCGCAAGACACTACAACGGATAGTGAGAACGGCTGAGAAGATCATCGGCTTCTCTCTCCCCTCCATAACCGACATTCATTAAACATGCTGCATCCGCAAAGCCACCAGCATTGTGGATGACTCCACGCACCCCTCACACAAACTCTTCACCCTTCTGCCATCTGGTAAGAGGTACCGAAGCATTCGGGCCCTCACTACCAGACTCTGCAACAGCTTCTTCCCTCTAGCCATCAGGCTTCTAAACACACAGAGACTGGACTGAGACACACACACACACATACATACTGTACATACACACACACTGTTGCACTTGTCTCGTGTTTGTTTACTTGCTGTTTTTGCACATGTCTGCACACTTTACATACGTGCAATTTACGTTTTTTTGTATTGTCCCAGTCCTTTTATGTAGCACCATGTTCCCGGGGAATGTTATTTCATTTCACTTTGTACTGTACCATGTATATTGTTGAAATGACAATAAAAGCAACCTTGAACCTAAACCTATTTTGATGCCATGGAATGACCTGAAGAGAATCATAAACAGAAGACAACCAAAGAATAGGCAGTTCTGCAGGGAAGAATGGGCTAAAATTCCCCCCACAGGATGTGCAGGTCTGATCTGCAGTTATAGGAAGCACCTGGTTGAGGTCATTGCTGCCAAAGGAGGGTCAACCAGTAATTAAATCCAAAGGTTCACTGACTTTTCCCGCTACCACTGTGAATGTTGAATGTGTTTGTATAATAAAGACATGAAAGAATAGAATTTTTTGTTTTTGTTATTGGCTTAAGCTCATTGTGTATATCAGTACCTGTGACTTAGACGAAGATCAGATGACTTTTTATGACCAATTCATGCAGAAAACCAGATAATTCCAAATGTTTCACATACTTTTTACTTTGACTGTACATGATAAAATTTCCAAAATAAACATCCTGAGCCATATTTCGTGTTTTCCAGTGACTATAACCTTGTTCACTTGGTGGATTTTTTTTACCAGGTTTTTTAAACAGCATATCAGCATTGTGACCTGGAGAGATAATTCTCTTGACTGTGTACGCAAATTGACGTGGAGCTTACAGAGCACTACCCAGCCCCCACCTCAGACTATTTGATCATATCTCCATCTTGTCCCTTCCTACATCCCTGTGCTGAAGACAATGAAACTAATCAAAAGGACAATTTCGTATGGCTGAATTATGCTGCTTCTGTGCTTCAGGACTGTTTTGCCTGCACTGATCTTTAGGGATGCAGCAACAAATGCTTGACTGGTGAATCTGGAAGAATATGCATTAGCCATCACCAGCTACATTAATAAGCGTGTGGAAGATGTTATTACCACAAGAACAATCATTATTCACTCTACTCAGAAACCCTGGCTGAATGCAGCGGTCAGATATCTTTTAAGAGGCCAGGACTCTGGCGATGCAACAGCGCTTCGAGCTGGAAGGAGGAAACTGACTGTGGGTGGGCATTAAAAGCTGAATGCCTTAGGGATCAGTCTATTCCCAATGCTCTAAATACCTGTTATGTCGGTTTTGAAGGCTTCAACATTCCTTCTTGCACCAGACTCACTCTACCACCACGTGAGCAGCCTCCCAGCGTAACCATGGAGGATGTCTGGTGGTCCTTACAGCATGTTACTGTATGGTACGGAAACTGCTCTGCTGCAGACAGGAAGGCACTGGAACAAGCAGCTAAGTCCACACAGAAAATTATCGGCAGCAGTTCTCCAACGATTGAAGGCATCTACATCAGAAGATGAAGGGATAGGGCTGACAGTATCATGAGAGACTCATCACACCCTGCTAATGGATTGTTTACCCCCCTCCCTTCAGGAAGAAGGCTGCGCAGTATCAGGGTCAGAACGACTAGGCTGAGAAACAGTTTCTTTCTGGAAACTGTTAGACTTATAAACTCAGCCACACATTAGAGATTTCTTATGTGCAATAAATGTGAACATTTACATTTATGCCCATACTACTATTACTGTATTTAAGATTCATCTGTACTTTTAAAATTCCTTGTAACCAATTGTTTTTACTAGAAGTGAGTGCTTGTTTTTAGACTACAGTGCTGTTCATGGGACCTCAGTACTTAATTTTGTTCCCTTACATGCTACCCCCATGTTCTTGGAATGACAATAAACCTTGATATGTGCTCAGAACAAAAAACACAATTTAACATTAGAACATATGAAAATTCACAGTAACACAACAAAACTGACAAGAATTTCCTCCATTCTCCAAAAATGTACTGATATCTTTTTGGGTGGCTAGAGCAACACCGCTTCAGCTCCCAAACTTCTACTCAAGGACACCTCAGTCATTCCATGTATTTGTTACATTTTGCATTGAGCTCAATCAATCAATCAATCAATATAAATAAATAAATTGGTTTTAAAAAGTCAATGAGGTATTGACGTGCCATATGAGGTGGAGTAGTAGTAGAGTCAAAAAATACATGGGTGTATTGGATGATTGCTGCAAAACTGGGATGACTTTAGGGCAGGTTTTGAAATGGCTAAGCCAGGGGTGGTCAGTCTTATCCGCAAAGGGCCGGCGTGTATGCGGGTTTTCGCTGCAACTCCCTAATTAAATTACTAATTCGAGGACTGATTGGCTGAAGAGTCCTCACACTTGGGTTTGAACAGCTGACCTACAGGTTATCCCAAATGCCTGCATACACACCGGCCCTTTGCGGATAAGATTGGCCACCCCTGGGCTAAGCTGACACACCTTGACAGACATAATATTATTATTTTACACTAACATGTAGATCACCTGAACATCATTTTCTTAGACTGCTTAAAACTTTTGCACAGTACTGTACATGACATGTAAGTATAGCTGTGTTTGTGAGTGCGTGTATACAAAACGTCAAGACGAATGCTATTACCATTAACGGCAGATTCCGGGTTTCCTGAAAAAAAGGTTCAATAAAATTTGATTTAAAAAAGCACATTATTTCATCCCAGAATTCTTTGTTTTTAATAAAGTCAACGCACTATTTTTCCATTGAAGTTTCCATTAGTGTCGATCATTTCAGATTTCCCTGGCTCTCCGGCTGGACCAGGAGGACCCTTAAAAAGAGAAAATGAAAGTATAATACAGACTCTTACCCTTTGCATTGCATTATTTATTTCTTTGTGGAAGAATATCCCAGACTCCTTACAAATTTCTCTTTCTCTTGGGGTGTGTTTAACAACATTTTGTAACATTTTGGACACAGATTGTAAACCTGAGGGCCAGGGGCCATTAATAGCGCTTTTCCACTGGCATACAGGAACCAGACCATACTCAACCTGTACCACAAAAAAGACACTACTTACATTGTGGTTCCAGCTTGTTTCAATTTTCCATTCCTGAAGGCTCAGCTCGGTAAAGATATTGCCATATTTGGAGAGCGTAAATCCAAAGAGATGCTTGTGTACTGTTCACATGGTGTACATCATGTTTTACTATTGCTAATTTCTGCTAGCACATCTGTGAGAATTGATATGTTATATTAGCATCAAATGGTAGTGGAATTAGTCTTACAGTAGCTTATGTAATTTTGCATTACAAATCCATTCCATTCAGTTGTTCTATAGAACTTTTTCAAGGAGGAGGCTGGAAATTTCCGAGTTTCAAGTTATCAGGAAGCATGAGTACATTGCGATGTGTGATATCACTAATGATAAATAATATATAGAATATATCCTTTTTTCCTTGAGATAACCCACGCAAATCGACACAGATCACCGTTATCTCAGTGAATTTCGACCAGTCAGATGGTGGTGACGCAACCAGCTCAGTTTGGTCATGCTTTTGGCCCTGGTAGTAAGCAGAGCCGTGTTAGTATGGGTCGGGTACGGCTCAGGCTCTGCTCTCTGTGGCAGTGGAAAAGCGCCATATGACCGTAAGAGCCCCTGCTGTCAGGCAGGCATGGAATGTCAGGCAGGAGGCTCTACATACCCTCGGTCCAGGTGGTCCCTCAAGCCCAGTTTCACCCTGTCAAACAATGGTAACCAAGGTTAGAGACTCATTCAATATGCGACTAATAACCCTGTTGTAATTATGGGAAACACTAATGATACCTAAAATAAATAAATAAATAGCAAGAAAAACCAAGAAACATTTTATTAATTCAAAAAAATACTGAAACCAATCACAGAAGTGAAGCACTTACCTTTGATCCTGGGTCTCCTTTTTGACCCTGTGAATGAGTAACACAATTAACATATTGCTGAGCCTGTAAAACACTATACTGACATGCTAATCTGTCCATGGTTCAGAGGACATGCTGGACTGAGGCCCTGCAGAGCCTGGCCTAAAGCCACACACTGCTCCCCACCTGGGACCCATTGGGTCCTGGAGGTCCTGGCATCCCTGGTTCTCCTTTGACTCCCATGCCTACCATGCTGGGCTCCCCCTTTTCCCCCTGTTGCAAAATAAAACAAAGGAGGGAAAGCATGAACCTCCATGTCGCTCCCCTACATTATACACTAAACATGGGTATGCAGCAGCGGAGGATACGTCGCTTTACACTGAGGATTTAAAGCGTGGTGTCACAGTGATGGAACAACATGACCAACGTGTTGCATTCAACACAACCAAAGGGGAACATAACATACGAAGCTTTCAGAGCACAGGCACAGTGAGAAAGCTTTAGCTCAGAAAAACATCACAGCTGTTCATCTGAATGCAGAAGTGAGACAAGAGATCAATGGCAGAACTTGATTTGCATAGGAGCCTGGGGGGGGGGTCACTTTGTGCTTGAAATCGTTCACTTATCCACCTCAAAAAGGAATCTATTTGCTTTCAGGACCAGGATTTCAAGCAGTAAATTTGTGAAAAAAATTAAGCTCTGAACTGTCCAACTGAATCAATCTAAAATCAAGGAAGTTAGGCTGTCCCTATAGAGTGAGAAATATCTGATTCATTTCAGACCCCCTTGTGGTGAAGTCCACGGTTTTGAGAACACATGTTAAATAGGAGCAACACGGATGAGCACATACAGAACTTGTGCAATGCATAGCAGACACTACATCCAGGTCACAGCAGGCCTACCCTGTAGCCTCTCTTGCCAGGAATACCGGGGATTCCAGGCTGACCCTTCATACAAGGGGAAGAGGAATTACCATGAAGTTACACAGTGATACGAAAGGACAGAACAGAGCAAAGAGGTTCTAGAGAGCAGAGCCAGCTGCCCTGGGCCATGGCTCATTACCTTTCGTCCAGGCACACCTGGAAACCCGGGCTCTCCCTATATAGACAAAGGAATGGAGGAGGAGAAAGGTAAAGACAGGCAGAAAGAATCAGAGGGATGTACGGCATGGCAGACACAAAGCAGCACCGGACCAATGATGGCACATTCAAACACGGTTTTCAGTCTAAGGCTATGCTCTCATTTCACACTGAATACTGATTACTCACTAAAAAAAAAATGATTATAACACTCAAGCCAGTCCAATGCCCAGCCTCCAGGAGTCAGTGTTACTTAGGAATACTTATTCAAACGGGAAGATAAAGTACTGAATCCTGAGGAGGGGGGAGGGGGCACTAGGGGGTATTTTTTCCATATAACTGCAATCTTAACCATATTAATGCATCTATTTCTGTAAACAGAAAAACCATCTGGATAGAATGCAGGTTAGTGTACTCAACAGGCCTCAAGCAAGCAATGGACTTGGTTTAAAAAAAAGGTTTATTCCTGAGAGTATCTTCATCTGTGGTCCAATGGAAAATCCATGACTGTGCCCAAAGTGAGCTCAAATTGAGCATATATCAGAGGATGGTATCGGTTCGTTATCTAAAACAAAGCACAGCATACAGTATCTGAGCACAGATTAAGTGTGACCTTAATGCTGCTTTTACTTCCCCATTGCTAACATATGCTTTCCCTTCACTGCGTTCCAAATTCAAGGTTTGGGCAGAAATGAGTCTGACCCAGCCAATAAGCATCCTGAGAGCATCCAGGCCAGGTAGCCCCCAGTGGAGCGGGGAGCCCCCACTTTGAGGGACAGTGCTCCTTCCTCTGGACACAAACAAGCTCAGACAGCAAAGTGACTCTAGAGGTATAAGCAAGGGATGGTGCTAGGGGCCCCTGTTGGGGGGGTGTTCAGACCACCTTCACTGCATGTTTCCCAAGCATTCTTAGAATAAAACGGCAAAGTACATTGGCAGTTGAAAACACACACGCAGAGTCCTACATCTCAATGTTGTCCCAAACATTTTGCCCCCTATAGTCACTCGTACCCTCTACATGCCATTGAATATTGCGCAGAAAGTGTCTTTCAACAAGAATCCAAACAAAACCCTACAACAAGGACAGATGAAACCGAAAATGCAGGGGAGGGGCAGTTATCTAAAGCCATGGGAGGGGTTGGACCCCAGCACAGGTGCCACAGCTTGACTGATGGCTCCACATGGTCAGTGGACGGGACTGGCCGGCGCATGGCAAGTGGATTTCTCAGAAGCCTGAGACAGGTGCCGGGTCCACCCAGAGGCGGCTGCAGCACCGGCAAACAGCCAAACCGCACTCAGCCCGTCTCCCACGCCGGCTCCCTCGGATCGACCTTTCAGGGCCAAATCGAGTGTCTAGGCTGCCAGAAGATGAATGGGAGGTCACTGCCTGACTCATGGCATGCCACACCATCACTGCCCTTCTGATCAAACACTGTCTTTCCACTGTTATAAGCTAATGGCTCGGTGCAGCACCATGCCTCTCTAGCCCTTTAGGGCCTCTCCCGGCCGAAAAGAGCGAGTACCCATGATGATAGCACCATCTGGCACTGCCCTAATGGGCAGCTGCTTCATACTGCCCATTTTCTGCTTCTTCCAAGCAGCAAGTCGGAGCAGAGCCATTAACCAGCACACACACACAAAGAGATTAGACCAATGCATGTGGCTCCGCAAATGCCCGCCAGTGCTATTACCCAGGACCAGTGAGGCACTACAGGCACTTTGAGTGGGTCTATTACCCTTCTGTGAATATAGCTTCAATGGCCTTGTCTGCGAAAACAGCTGTTCTTCATTAGTAATCGTAAAAGCAGCTGTGTTAGTCAGGCTGCTGCTGGACACGTGGGTCCTCCCAGCCCAAGGCCTAGGGAGGTTAGTGGGGCCCCTATTGGGCGGCCCCTTTACTGTGGGCCCAGGCCAGTCAGGGCTGGTAGTGAGGGAACAGTCAGCTTTGCAGCATGGGAACTCTCACGTCTTTTAGAACATTTTCATCATTTTATATGTTTTTTTAGGATTAAAAACTACTACTCAGGGGTTAATCACAAGAGGGTCATAAAGGATAATGATTTAGCCACAACATCATGCCAGCACTCAGAAACCAAAAACAGGCACACAAATCCATAACATGCAAAGAGGGCCACGTCAGGCTCCCAGTCGGGCACGTCAGCTACCTTCTGCCCAGGAAGACCCATGTTCCCATCATCTCCCTATGGGGATGGACACAAACACACACCTTCTGAACACAGAACACATTAACAAAAAAAAGGGGCTGTGCTCCCCACATAAAGGCAAGGCGGAAGGCTTTTTCTACAGGCTGCCAAAGCCAGCCGGTCTTAAGCAGCAGCACGGAAGATTAGCAAAAACAACAATGGCCATGTAGGACTTCAGCATATTTTATGTCCTCAATGAGCAGAGATCATATATCTGCAATATGTATTATATTTTAAAAAGGGACTATGCAGCAAAAAAGGGGAAGTGTCCCACTACTGATTTTCTGAATGCATGGTCTCATACTTAATTTTAAATTAGTTAATCATCTGTGGAATCAATTATGCTAACAAAAGCTCTTCGTAGAAAACAGTGCAAAAGCTGAAAACCTGAGTGCATGCATACATTATAATGTTTGTAAACAGAATCACAGAACACTGTTATATATGAACATTAAGGAAGTAAAACAGCCTGCTCATTTCACTGCCGGCACACTGTGGAAGACCCTGGCTCCTGTTCATTCACACATCAGCGTCTTTGCTGAGAATTTCTCACAAGTACTTCTGGTAAGTTACCCGAGGTGCCGACCAGCAGTGTGGTTCAAGTGCAACAGAAAGTCGATCACCAGATCCTACAGCATACATTTAATGGATTCCTTAATTTTGAACTACATCCGGCAGCGGTCAAGAAGCACAATGGTAAAGGCCACTGACAGCCCAGTGCTCTTACCTTGTGCCCCTGACCGCCCTTCGGACCCTATCAAAGGAAGAAGGGGGGGAGCAATTAAAACATCATCAGGCATTAGTCAAAGGACTGAAGTCTCCAGGCTGCCCCACTGTAAATGATTTGATATTATAAAAAGTAAACCATTAAGGCAGAAAAAAGAAAAAATGCTTTTATGACTGTCATTCGACATTGTAAACTCCAGATGTTCTGTTAGATTTTACTTTAATACCTGTCAGACAAGCTATAAATCTAATGAGCCTCAGGGCAGAGTGGAGTAGAGCAGTTATCAGAGCTGTAAAAACAACCGCGTTCCCTCAAGCGGACAGCTGCTCCTCTACAGCATCCTCTCCCAGTTCAAATTAAACTGGGAAATTCTGCCTGTTGGCACTAGATGGTGCACTAAACACTGTCTGGCAGGTGGCCAGGGTGACTGAAAAATGGATTATACAAAATCTAAAGTGCAGTGTGTGTCCCATTACGCGCCTCTGGTGGGAAACAAAATTCAGGAGAAAAAAAAGTTATGTGCCAGATTTGTGGAGAGCAATTAACAGTTTATAAATGTCTGCATCAGTTCTTGTATATAGAAAGAGGCTCTCATGTTTAAAACAAACTTCTTCAGGCCAAGAGGACTACAAGAGACACGGAGCTATGTCTGTGCACCGCTTGTCGTCAACCTGGCCTGCTGTTGTTGGGAAAAAAAGTCTGGGAATGGAAAACTCGGAGTCAAAAGTTCAAAAGGTTCCGGATGGATAACAGAAAGTGAGGAAGGTGGGAGGGAGGTGGAACTGGGGACGAGAAGCAGAAAGAAAATCTGAAAAAGGTCATTCCATGCAAACTGCATGTCCACCCTAATAAACTGATTAATCAGTAACCCAAGCCAGGCACACTGGTCAGCTGGTGGCCCCGGACAAAGAAAATACTTCGCAAGATGATGGTACCTTTACTAGATAAATACGAAGAAAAGACAAGAAAATTAAGAATGAAAAAGTCCCAATTTGCAGACTGTGCTAAATGTATGTATTTGATCACTGAACAGAGAGTAATAGGCATTGCTGTATATTAGAGAGAGACAGGACAGTCCTGAACTCTACATTTGCGACACCCATACCCAGCCCCCCTTAGGGCACAGAAAACAGATGTTGGAAGGGCAGCCATGTCAGGATAATGAGAGGAAAAGGACAGTCTGGATGCGTAACCAAAAACTGACAGAGATGAGTCAGCATTGTCACCTGGGGACCGACGGCTCCTTGGGGACCAGGTTCACCGCAATCACCCTGGAGACAGCAGGAGGGAAAAGCAAGGAGATCAGGCAGAGGCAGCCATTGACAAAGGAATATCATGTGGTCTGCATGACTAGACAACAAATAAAAAAACAACAAAATGGATGCCTGCAAAACCAATGGCAAGGCAGTGAGATGGGTCCTATGCACCCTTTGTTTGTAAGTCGTTGTTGTAAATGCATAGCTGAATAATAATAATCAGAGTTGCTAATGGGTGAAGGACTCCACCTACCTTCTGTCCTGGTGTCCCGGGTTCACCCTGAAATCACAGAGGACACTTAGAGGACAACAGCCTGGCTATACGAAACACACATGCTCTGGCTGGAGCTGCAAGCTTATTGTGAGTCTGAAGTTACAGCCCCTGGTCGAATACTTTAAACGCCCTTCCAGCTGTTCCACATCGCCGCCGTTCTTCACCTCCTACCTTCTCTGACCCTGCCTCTCCTATCTAATAATACAGCCCCGTCAACCTGAGTTTCCTGTGTTCAAAACATGCTTCCCATTGTTCCTGGGGCTCAGAGCTGCAGACAGAGGCCAGCTGCGGGAAGGTGTTCGTATTATCAGCACAAACAAAGCCCAGCTAAGAGGCCACTGAGATGTGAGCTTATTTAGCTTCCCTGCACAGCCTGGGCAGAAATTGCAGAACTGTACCATTTTAAGTTCAGCAACTAAAATTTCCTGCACTAAATAATCCATTGCAATTAGGACATTGAAAAATATGGCTGAAAAACAGAGGGTGACTCATATTTAAATATTTATGTTTTAAAAATCCTTCGTAATTCTCAGAATTTTATAAAACATACCTTTATTCCTGGTAGCATCTGGAAGGAAAAAGAAACAATAAATCAGTTTTAATATTTAATTTCATATAATTTATTCAGGTAATGGAAAATTGCTAAGATTGCATAGAAATAATCAGCCAGTCCTTAAGTTGCACAGTTTGCTCAGGGATGTTTTACTTGCACAAAAATGTTCTGAGGGCAGAACAAAAAAATATTGTTCAGAGGTAATCAATCAGATTATAGAGGAGGTGGGTCCAAGCAACTAGAGGTGGTGGGACCAAGATATCTGATTGGTTGGTCACACATTCTCTAGTTGGTTGGATCTACCTCTTCTACAATCTGATTGGAAATTTCTCTGAACCAACCACTTTTCATTCTGCCCTCTCAACATTTTTGTGTAAGTAAAACTCTCATGAGCTGTGATTTTTCTTACAGTTCGGATGACATGAGCTTCACACTCACCCGTGGGTCTTTGCCTGGCTTACCAGGCTCCCCAGGCTTTCCCTGAAAGACACACAGAGTAACTTCAGGCACTCGTTACAAAGGTGGTGCGGCACAGCATGTTAACACCGTGACTGATTCACAGCACCACAAGATGCTGGGGGGTGGGGGGGAGCCGTGCAGGCGTACCGGGGCTCCGTTGATGCCCGCAATGCCGGGCGTCCCTGGCGCTCCCGGTGGTCCAGGTGGGCCCTGAGCCCCAGGCTCGCCCTGCTGAGAGAGCACAACTTACCAGCTGCTACAACTGGCTCACCAAATTCACTTAGATAAGAGCTTTGTTATGCCAGGCAAAGGATGCACCAGACATGCTTTAAATTAGTGGGAGCAAAGGCGAGGTTAGAAGCTGGACAGTTGCTGTCTTAGAGCGACCATGTATTGAGAGAGAACATCTCTGCTTACATCACGGCAGACCACATGCATACACTATAGACCCAGAGTGAAGTACAGGCAGGGACACCGGCACCAGGACATGCAAGGAGGCAACACCACGCTAAGTCATACGTAGACCAAGCAACAGTCCACGCGAGGTGGAATATGCAGACAGGAATACTATGGAACATCATACTGACGAGACATCATTTAAAAATATATATTCCTGAATCTGCTTTACAATCTGCTGGACAAAAGCAATAGAAAATAGTCAGATAAAATGTAGCACATACATTCAGTTTCTGCTGACTGAATGGCCATGTGGAACAATATAAATTGTGATATTTGTCACATGCTTGGCTGCACTTCCAACTATCATTTCATCAAAGTCTGCTATTCCTGAATCATGCACATTCAATCATATTTCACTACAACAAATGAGGCAAAACATCTAGCATGCCTCCCAAATGGTCTGGTAACCACTGTTTCCTTTGCAAGAATTTCTAAACTGAAAAAAAACGCTATTTTAAATTTGAAAGAATAGTTACAGGTGCAATTTACTGCATGACAAGAAGCATGTGGATATAATGACTCTGGATGTGCATTACTGAAGCGAGTCTCCTTTGTGCTGCTATTTTAATCTGTCCAGGATTGGCGTGGTGGTACCCCTGACCCCATCTATAGGTCCACGTGCCAAAAATTTTTACTATTGACTCCAAACATGGTATTCTATTTTGGAAAGAGTGCCCACACCTTTAGAAAAAAGACGAGGGGAAGAACACCAGCCAGCTGGATTCCCTTGTGCCAAGAGGAAGGATGTTGACATGCGAGGGGCCAAGGTTCACGAGCCAGAACAGTGGCCCATTTAGCTGCTCTCTACCCGGATATATGTCAACTTTGGGTTATTCCTCAGCAAAAGTGCTCTTCTGGGGTTTTACTGCGCTAAACAATGGCTGCCCACAGCAGAGCACAGCTGCATGGGATCTACAGACTGCTCTCAGAGAGAGTGCTGCCTTGGTGCCGTGCTTAAGCTACCTGGTTCCATCTAATGACCCCAACCCAGGATGCTCCCCCGCATGCGTTAACATTGATCAGGGTGCCATGGCACAGGATTCACAGAGCTGGCAGGTTTACATCTCTGCTGTGACCTTTTTAGCGAGGTGCACAGATGAGGCAGATGGATGGACTTGCCCCAGACTTCTACTCTGCTTACACTGATGCATCCAGAAATGGAGATGGAAGAATGGCAAGGGGCCGACCCAGCCATGTCAATTTGGACAGCATTTGGACAATGCAGGAAGGCCTAACACACTCGTGCTGCTCTGTTGCTGTCAGCCTGGTTTTGACACATGGGAGCCACGTGCAGGGTTAGAGTGGCCTCCGTCCATGGCAGCTGGCAAGCGGAAGAGGAAAGCAGGCCAGAGGACAATATACCTTGAGGCGCTTTAGGTTTAGAGGGCTTATTGGGGGCATTTTTCGCACGCCGATGGGCAGTATCTGATGAGGTCACAAAGCAGAGGTGATCAGCGGAGGGCAGCAAGGTGACCGGAGGGCCAGCCGGGGGTGGGAGGTTGGGCAGGGGCGGCAGAATGGAGAAGACAGGAAACAGAGGGCAAGGACAGAGGGAGAGAGAATAAGAGAAACCTGTGAGGCGGGTGGAGAGGGGTGGAGGAGAGCGAGGAGTTCGCCCAGGGAGCACGTGTGGAGGAATCCGACCATCTTCACACCATGTGACCTGAAAGGCCATAGTCAGCCCGGCTGGGGTAAACCGCACAGACTCACAGCGAGAGTCACGTCTGCTCAGCATGGCTCTTCCTGCTGCTACTGGTGCTTGGGATACTAGCTTTTCATTCTGAGCATGTGAACTTTTCAGCTGCCAAGCCACACTCCCTGATGGTGGAGATTCCCAGCCAGACGTGCTCCCTACACCAGATGAGGCGGTCCAGAGATCAGATTGGACGCAGCCGTGCCACAGAGAGAGAACACAGCGACTTACTGTGGCCAGTCCTCCAACACAGGTCTGTACAATGCGCCGTTTCTGTTGGAATCACCCACACTGTCAGATATTGCTGAACCATGATCCGCCCAACATCTTGGGCCATAAACAGAACTACTTCACTTATATTGCTGAATATTATCAGATAATGGTCCATTCTTCAACCTCGGTCCTCTAAAGCATGTAGATTGAAGATGCACTGAATTATTCCACTTACCCCGCAACCTTAAAGCTAACAAAAAATCAGCATCTGAGAAAAAAAAATCGAATCCAACTACAGGTCTCTAAATGGTTAGATTCCAGTGGCAGGAAGTGACACGTTTTGTCTTCCACTGTTTTCTGTGAGAGCAAATAGGTTGCACAGCCAAGAGGAGGGGGGGCCCTAGCTCAAAGCAGTGTCTCTCTTTGTGTGGCACTATGGTGATGGGGGAAGATGGGTGTAGGGTTGGTAGGGTCGTGTTGGGGCGGGGAGAGACCCACAAACCTTCTGCATCATGATATGACTGGAGCGCAATGCCGCCAGTGCTTTTCTCCTTGAGGAGTCCTGCACAGAGCAACCCGCCACACACACACGCGCACACACACACACACACACACACACAGGTTTGTAATTATATCTTTGTGGGGACTCTCCATTCATTTCTATGGGGGAAACTGTAATCCCAACGTGACGACCTTGACTCCTACCCAGCCCTAACCTTGCCCATAAGTAGCTAAACAAAATACGACACTTTTGGCAGTTTTACTTTTTTTCTTGCATTCACAGATCTTTATGGGTACTTGTCCCCACAACATCAACATTAAAGTTTTCATGACTTTGTGGGGGCATGTGGGCCCCACAATGTAATATAAACATAATCTACACACACGCACACACACACACACACACACACACAAAAGAATGGGTGACTCCTTGTCTTACTCCACACATCTTAGGTTGTCCCCCAGCCTACCCTGACATTTTAACCACCCACCAATAATGTCCCCCCCCCACATGGTCTGCCTAGGGGATTCAAATGAGTGCAAAAACAAGCCAGGACATGCACGGAAAGACAGGACAGGACCACCGGCAGGAATGGAGAGCGGAAGGCGGCCAAAATGTTCTGTTTTTATTTTTACCGTTTATATATTTAGTATCTGAATTTCCTCACTTAAACATCACTGAACAGAGAAACGTTGTGCTCCTGAGAAGAAAGGATGTATTTAAAAGCATTTTAAGGCATATTTTACTGGGGGTGCGTGACAGTTGCACTCAGTCAAACTTGGGCCTTTATCACATGTGCCAGAGCAAGCTTCCAGTAACTGCCCTGCTTCCACTTAAAGAGCCGCCCCGGGGAATGGGCTCATTTGCATCAGGAACGGAGTCTGTCCAAGCGCCTTGCACACATGCAAGCCATCAGTCTTTCGTTTGCCTAGCAGCCATTTCCTCCTTTCCAGATCTCTCATTGTTGGCCAACTGCTGGACATAAGCATGCGGTCAGGACCTAGTAGTATGGTAAACTCATTAAGGTGTGCTTGTTAAAGCAGGAACCCACTCTCCACAGACAGCCCAGTCTGAAGTGTAAAACCACACAGTCCGGTAACTCCACGTGTGTCGGACTGCGCTATGGCATTAAAGTCCCTTTCTGGAGGACGAGTTTGTTTTCTGTCAGCCTCCATCCTATCATTCTGTACGCTGAAACCCTGGCAATTATTAATCGGTTACATAGATATAGATTACTCACATTTCTGGGTAAAACATAATTGAAGACCTCGACACCCAGCACAATTCTGACCTTTAACCCTCTGGGGACGAGGGCATCGTCAGCGATGCTGCGTATCTTTCTCGTGTATTTCAGTTCATAACTCGCTGAAATCTTATGGTACAAACATAAAGACTGACTAAATCCGAAATCTGTCTTCTTTTCAAAACGTCCATTGTCGGAAGTATTAAAGTTTTTAAAATTAGGTTAAATAGGCAAAAAAGTAAACCAAGTCACCTTTCCTTGTTTTACCTGCATCGTGTAGTACCGCTCTCACCTGAAGATCGCTATTCACATTCTAAATAACCGCATTAACACGTATGCAAATCACATTCACATGGTAATTTTATGAACAACGCAACAGTGAAACACGATCCAGATACATCCCCATCAGTGCCATAAAGGGGGGGGGGAATGTGGCCAGGTGTGAATGGCTCATGC